ATTATCTAACTGGTAGCAGATTCTACTATTATGTTAACTGGTCAGCATTTTTCTCGCACTGAATGTGAAAGAGCGTTTAAATTTGCTGACCATATAGAATAAGAAGAGTTTTACGGCTTAAATTTCAATTTGAACATTAACATTAAATTGGTCAGCAGTGTTTTTTACTTAATTAAATGTCGACATGATTTCTATATAATATATAAAATTTTGCATACATTATAAAATGAGTAAACAATTTCACGGCAAAATATATATTTTTCTCTTATATTTCTAACTGGTCAGCAGTTTCCCTATATATCTAACTGGTCAGCAGATTCTACTATATGTTTAACTGGTCAGCATTTTCTCGCCTGAATGTAAAGAGCGTTAAATTTGCTGACCATATAGAATAAGAAAGACTTTTACGGCTTAATCAATTTGAAATAATATTAAATTGGTCAGCAGTGTTTTTACTTCATTAAATGTCGACATAATTTTATAAATATATTGAATTTGCATACATTATAAAATGAATTACAATTTCACGGCAAAATATATTTTTCTCTATATATCTAACTGGTCAGCAGTTTCCCTATATATCTAACTGGTCAGCAGATTCTACTATATGTTTAACTGTCAGCATTTTCTCGCCTTAATGTAAAGAGCGTTAAATTTGCTGACCATATAGAATAAGAGAGTTTTACGGCTTAAAATCAATTTGAATTAACATTAAATTGGTCAGCAGTGTTTTTACTTAATTAAATGTCGACATTATTTTATAAAATATATTAAATTTGCATAATGAGTAACAATTTCGTAGCATTTAAATATATTTTTCTCTATATATCTAACTTTTCAGCAGATTCTACAATATGGTCAGCATTTTTGATAACATATTTTTTGACTGTTTATTGTATTTTGTCATAGATAAATCAAGAATGACACGTCGCGTGTGAAATCGATTTTAATATGACCTTGGGGCATATCGATCTCGATAAATTATCAGTTTAATGGATATCTGTGGAAACATTTGTTTATAATGTAATAAAAGCTTATTAACTATAACAATTAGCACATTATTAATTTTTGTTCAATATTACTTATTACAATTATACGAACAACAAATAAGGAAACAGAAATCACTTTATTTCATATTTGCACTAAATACGACATAATATAATTATACATAAGTACCATAATTATATTTTGTTAAAATATACATTACGTATATGTACATGTATATATTTTAACCTATGATGCATAGTTTTATACATACTTGAAACAAATTATGATTTTTCGTACATCATATTTTGACTACATTTTTAAAATTTTAACCAATATATAACACATAGAAGAAAATCATTAAGGTACTTAAATAAAATATTATATCAAAATAAATTGAGAATATACAGTATATATCAATTGAATTTTTTATAATTAATATGTATCATTTGTAATATTGACATCTTGAAAAAAACATTTTATCAAGTATTTCTCGACCTCGCCTGTAATATCACCAACGGCAATTTGACACCTTCATTGTTTTCCCTTCTTTATCTAACTGGTCAGCAGTTTTCGATAATCCTTCTTTATTTAACTGGTCAGCAGTTTCCTATATATTCTATATTGTCAGCTAATTCGTCAGCAGTTTAAAGCGACCCCTTCCATGATCGCACCGTTTGTCGGTGAGTTAGTAAATTCTGACCAAGCGCCGGTAGACGCACGACAATGCGATACGATATTATTCCAATGTCGCTTCGCATTGTCAAGTGTCGCTTCGCGTTTGTCGAGTATCGCTTCGCGTTGTCGAGTGTCGCTTCGCAATTGTCGAGTGTCGCTTCGCAATGTTGAGCGTCGCGGTGTAAAAATCATAAAAATAACGCGACATTTTACTCGACATTTTAAAAATGTCGCTTCGCGATGTCGAGTGTCACTTCGCAATTGTCGAGCGTTGTATCGCATTGTCGCGTTGTCGTTTCGCATTGTCGAGTGTCGTGGTATGCACTTCTACCAACCTCGACACTCGACAATGCGAAGTGACAATGCGACAACGCGAAGTGACATCGCGACAACGCGAAGTGACATCGCGACAACGCGAAGCGACGCTCGACAATGCGAAGCGACACTCGAACAAACGCGAAGCGACATTTTCTTAAAATTGTCGCCCTTTTTTACCGCGACATTTCTAGGCGACAGTGCGACATATCGTTTGACACTGTCGAGCGTCGCTTCGCATTGTCGCATATCGCTTCGCGTTGTCGAGCGTCGCTTCGCATTGTCGCGATGTCACTTCGCATTGTCGTGTGTCTACCCTTAGACGCGACGGACGACATTCTAAATGGCACGATAAGGACACCGTAGGATCGCTATAGATCTCTTCTATTCTTAGTGCAAACTATCCAAGTTGCATAGAAATATTCATTTCTTTGGAAGGCATTATTTTCTGTCATATTCTATGATTACTGCTCAAAACTTTGCGATGTTTCGAGCACTTTGCCAGAAATACCATAAACCATCAATATTAGTCTGGTCTAGACTGCTTACCGATAGCAAAAAAGAAAATTAATTCATGCATTTTCATATATTCCAAAACCTTCAATTATGTATTCCAAGCACAAATGAAAAATATCACATCATAAAGCAGACAGCGAAAGACGTACGTTGTATTTCTAAACGAAATTTTCGTGAAATATAACTGGGGTATAAAATGTTCCCGACTATAAGCCTTACCGACATACGCCAAAAAACAAATGGATTTTTTTTATTGATTAGCATTAGAAATAATTGGTTTGTGTTTCGCAAAGCTTTTTAATTTTCATATTTAAATTGTATTTAGATGGGCTTTTTGGTGCTATAGTTGGTAGCGCAGGATTAAATGGCCTTGCTATAAATCATAAAATTCGGTTATATCTTTGTAAGTTATTCTTTTAGTAACTTATGAAATTGATAATTTTTCATTTGAGCGTCAGATTTATCATATAAGATAAATTTTTGAGGTACCTGTTGCCATGGAAACAGATAGCAATAAATAACATGAAAATTGTTAACTATTATCTATTTTTGATAAGTAATGCACAATATTTTATGTGAAATGAAAATTGGAGCATTTCCAGTATAATGTATTACGTCTATTGGATTCTGAAGGTATAAATCTTATGACAACCGTCATGACAAATAATATGAAATGGGTCCCATGTCAAAAATGTTTCTTTACATCTATGCAAAGTGTGGAGATTTTTTTTCAATTTTCCCTTTGTTATAATCGACTAGACTAAACTGTGCCAACTTGCCAATTCTATAAACATGTTTTAAAATAACTTATTCTTTTCTTTGAATGAGGACCAATTTCTTCAAACTAAATCATTTTCATGTCCCCTTCTGAACGAGCGACAAGATAGCAACCTCAATATGTTAAAGTGCAATGAGAATTATAAACTCTCCTCCACAGATCTTGTTAAAGCTAGTACATTTGTATTCTTTTTTATTTTCATTTAAACTTTGAGTGTTTCATTATTGATAACGATAAATCTGTTCCAGAGATTTTCAGAAGTAATTTCGAGACGATTCTTCGGTGAAATATGGGCATAATTATTTTAAAATTGAACTATCTCGCGTCACCTCACAGATCACGTGCATGTCATCTTGTAGTGTATACAAGTTTAAAGACATTTTGCATACTGGTTTAAGAGGTATTTACAAAAACATATTTAGTCAAAGTACCCAAAGAAAAAATTAGGTTTCATTGCAACTTTCAATGTTTGTCTCCAATCTCACCATCATACCAGATCTAAAGATAATGGTAGATACATGCCTGAAACAATTAACAAAGGAAAACGGTCTGCGAATTAAGGTCTGGCCCCGAGATTATCCGAGTAGCTAGCCAGACTGAACAGTGATACGGACCTGAAAATGAAATGATTTTCATTACAAAATATTTGAATAACTCATTTTTAACTTTCCACTTTCAAAGTTAAACTTAAAAAAACAACCTAATTGGGCTAGTATATACAATGTATTGCCAACCACTAGCCCGAATGACTGGTTGTTTTCTAGTCCTAAATGCTTTTAAAATAAATTCGACAGATCGCCTTCACTATTTTAATGCGACGTAAAACCAAACTGTGCTAAAAGAAACTCAATTTTGAACATTGCATAAGCTTGGAAAAGGAACCAAGTCATGAAACTTTGCTTAAAAATAGATCAGTATTTCTAAACCTTTGATTTTCAGATTCCTTCCCTCAACTATTTCTTGTTCATACTTTGTTTAATTGAAGAGAACAAGTGTTCCTTAGTATGTTTTCTTCATGAAATAAAGTGTTTATTATTATTAGTATTATTATTATTATTAGGATGCATGGCAATTTTTGCTCACCAGTAAAATCACTATTGATTAATATAGAAGATGAAAGGAATGACAAAGCAACACAGTTTTGAAAATCTTTATATTTCGATATTCAACCATTACATCTCTAAAACATTTCGACTAAACAACAAATAAACGTATATAAGTATCACATTATTAAAGTTATTTATGTGTAACACATGTCTAAAACTTGGTCCCATAGCTAGCTAAGATCTGTGCTACATAATTCTTGATTCTGATAGTAACAATATGCATCACATGGATCGTAAAAAAATGAAAACTATTTCAAAATTTCGCTATTAAATATGTAAATAGTTGAATAAATCCGCACATGAATAAATTCAACAAATTTGAGCAGATCCATCACTTATATCAAATATATCTTGACCTTTACTGATCTTAAGATCAATACATTTTAGGTAAAATACTAATGATTTTTGTTCAGAAACAAAACTGGGCACCACCCTCTTCCCCAACCCCTTTGTATAATCTATTCTGGTAAAACCCCCCCCAACCTTAATTTGTATAATCTATATTGGCAATACCATGTTCCTAAGTAATATCTTTAACTGTTTTTTATAACTGTATTTTCAAACTATGGCACTTAAACATAGCCTTGTACTAAACATATCATATTTCTCCATTTTGCGTTTTGAATCTTGAAATTTGCTGTCATTATGTGACAATTATCAACCTATTTGTGTGTATTCTGTATGAGTATAACTTGCCTGTATTCGTATTCGTATGTCAAGTCTTCTATTTTTAGCAAACCAAATCAATGACGGAAGAATTACATGTGTTATACTATCAAGATTCAAACTGTGATTGTAACACATACTGTACCAATACTGTGCCAAGCCTTATATTTATTTTAAATTCATGAACATGAGCACATAAAGACTTAATGCCCTTCCTACAGTGCTCACAAAACAGACCCAACTTGTCACTACCATTCTCTTGTTAAACTCACATACTCTCATCATCTCAGATCTCAACTAAAGGCATGACCCTTAAACATTACACTTAAAATCCAAGTTGGATTTCCCACACTTTACATTACACAAACAGTTTCATATATGTCTTTTTCACTCTTTCGTTGCCACTAGCAAATATCAACTTGGTGGTATGAGATCAGGAATGCAATTCTAAAAAACATCAGTGTAATTGTCTGCAAAATAAAAATTCTAAGTCCTTTGTGATACAGTCAGGTAGGTCTGCAAAGTCTTTACGGTTTTCTTCTGGCAGAATGACACATTTCATACCTGCTCTCCTTGCCTGCAACAATAAAATACAACTTTAATATAACTCTATATATACTACCCTTGTCTATATAAATCTGGAACAAGATTGCATTTGAGAAAAATGCTATGCCACCGCATTAATACAACACTAAATAGTAGTGTAGGAACAGATTTTTTTTGTTTCTATACAATTTTGAAGATTGTCATAATGCATAGATCCCTGACCTATCTTATTCTTATTATCAGATTAGTGGTTAAATCTGTTGTTAACTCAATAAAAGATCAGAGTAGGAATATATCAATGCACTCGAGTCTAGTGAATTTGGTGGTGAAGGTCATATTTCACACAGCCTAATTTCATGACTACATCAAAAAGGACAACACAGTAAGACACTTGTCAAAATCTAGGTCAGCTGAAAATCAAAGTTTCACTTTACATTTAATCTGTGCACATGGTTCAAATTTCATAGCTGTACATAAAGGACAAGAAAGTAGGTCACATCAATCAAAATCTAGGTCACCTGATATCAAAGTTCAAATTTTACAACTAAAACTGTGCCACATGGTCAAAATTCATTGCTGTACATCAAATGACAAAAAGGACCCAAGGGTTTAATTCAAAACAATTCTTGATACAGGTCCACCAAAACAACATTTCAAGCAATTATCTAAGCTGTAGCTTCTCTCCATTCAGAAAACATTTGTTTTTTTTCTGTTTTTACTATTGTACATGAATTGAGAATCACTGCCCCCCGGGCAAGGGCAATTTTAACACCAGGGGAAAAATTTGACAACTTTGTAGAAGGGATAATAGACTGATATTATATACTGAAAATCAAAGTCCTATGCCTGGTAATGTGCAGACAAAAATATTTTTTAGTTTTTTAACTAAATCTATGGTATAAAGAATCTAATTCAAGTGTATTGCCTTACCCAGGTAAGCATTAATGTCGATAAATTCTGACAGATCTTGTAAGTTCACTTCGCAAAGTTCAATATATATTTATACGCTCTAGCCTTCTGTCAACCTTCTAGAGAAGAGAATTTTCAATTCAAGAGAAGAATGAATTTTTCAAGGTTCTTTATCTTTATAATATAATACAGGAAAAATATGTGACCTACCATGAGGGCTAGGGAGACAAATTTTAACACCTTTAGGGCATATATTAAAACAACTTTAGTAGAGGACCCATAATGATGATTATTAAGGTAATATGTCAAACATATCAAAATAGCTCTAAGCCTTGTACCGTCAAAAATTCAGAAACGAGTAATTTTAATTTTTTACTATATGTACTTCAGTTAACAATCAATGACCCCTGGGGGTAGGGCAAAATTTTGACCCCCAGGGCTATAATTTGTACAATCTTGCTAGAGGTTCACTACAATTAATGATTCATTGCAAAATACATTTGTATCTTTAACTCTAGTCTTTGGTAAATTTAAAGAAGATGATTTTTTAAGTTTTTACTATATAACATATAAGCGAAACCTATGGGCCCCTGGGGCGGGCTAATTTTGACACTAGAGGCAAAATTTGAACAACTTTAGGTCAGATTCATATAGATGATATCATTTAACAAATATTAAAGCTCTAAGCCGTTGTACCTTTCAGACAAGATTTTTACTATATATATATTATATATTGAAAAACTCAATGACCCCCGGGGCGGGGCAATTTTGACCTCGCAGGGCTATAATTTGAACAATTTGCTAGCGGTTCACTTCACAATGTTTCATGAAAAATATCTAACCCTCTAGCATTTGTCAATTGCTTAGTAAGAATTTTTTTTTAAAGTTTTTACTAATATAACATATAGGGAAAAACCAATGACCCCCACGGGCGGGGCCGATTTTGACCCAAGGGCTATATTTGAACAATCCTGGGTAGAGGTCTACCAGACATGCCTTATGCAAAATATCTAAGCTCTAGCCTTTTGGTTCTTTTACAAGAAAGGTATTTAAGTTTTTACTATATGTACATATTGTGAAATCAATGACCCCGGGGGGGGCCCGATTTTGACCCAGGGCTAATAATTTGAACAATCTTGGTAGAGGTTTACCAGACAATGCCTTATGCAAAATATCTAAGCTCTAGGCCTTTTCAGTCTTTACAAGAAGGTATTTTTAAGTTTTTACTATGTACATATAGTGAAAAAAAAAAAAAAACAATGACCCCCGGGCGGGGCGATTTTTTGACCCCAGGCTATAATTTGAAACAATCTTGGTAGAGTTCTACCAGACAATGCTTATGCAAAATATCTAAGCTCTAGGCCTTTTGGGTCTATACAAGAAGATCTTTTAAAATTTATTCTTATAATTCCTTTTGGTTGCCATGGCAACCAGATTTCTGCATGGAATGAAATTCTTTCAACAACTTTGGAAGCCCTTCACCCAAGGAAACAATCCTGCCAAGTTGGTTGAAATTGGACTAGTGGTTTTTAACAAGAAGATTTTTAAGTTCACTATATAATCTATTAACACACACACACACAAACAAACAAACAAACACACACACACACATACACACAGGTGAATCGCTATATGCCACCGCATCGCAGATGCTGCGGTGGCATAAAAAACGTGATCACTCAGACGCAATGTAAACAAAAAATGTTATATGAAAATTGCAGACCTAGTGTCTACAATTAAAGCTATGGTCCAGTTTCAAGTTGCACTGACACTGATATGTTCATGTGACTTTGCAAAGTTCCAACAGAAGATATATACCTCAAATTTTGCTTCAAGCATTACTTAGACAAGGAAAGGCACAAGAGTAGTAAAATAAGAATTACAGGTACATAATTTCTTACATACATTGTCTAGTTGATAACAACACTCATTTTATGAATCAATCAACACTTCCTCATAAATGTTCATGGTTTCTTAACTAAGCCTTGTGGTTATAAAAGTTTTTCATGAGCTCTGCCTCTAACCCCCAGGATTTTCATTGGTCAGGGTACATTCTGTGCTTGTTTGTAACAATTCAAATACCTGAGATCTGAGTTTGAGCTTAGAAAAAATCTGTATAACCTTGTGCCCTGTACTTAACTGTTTATAACTTGGACCCTGTACTTAACTTTTTATAACTTGGACCCTGTACTTAACTGTTTATAACTTGGACCCTGTACTTAACTTTTTATAACTTGGACCCTGTACTTAACTGTTTTTAACTTGGACCCTGTACTTAACTTTTTATAACTTGGACCCTGTACTTTACTCTTTATAACTTAAACCTGTACTTAACTTTTTATAACTTGGAAACTGTACTTAACTTTTTATGACTTGGACCCTGTACTTAATTCTTTATAACTTGGACCCTGTACTTAACTGTTTTTGCCTGAATAGATGCCAACCTCTTTGAAACGGGGGATCAAGAACAAATCATTCTGTGTCATCGCCAAAGTTAAGTTTAAGCTTTACATATCAAACAACATTATGTTTGGCCATTAACCTTCTGAATTTCTTGATCAACTTACCAAATATGGGTGTATTAAGATGAAATTTGAAGTTAGTCAGTCAACAGTATAGAGCAGCAGAATAAAAGTAAGGTATAACAATGCAATCACTATGGCCAAATAAAACTTACTGCTAGAACTTTTTCTTTCACTCCACCTATAGCTAGAACTTTGCCTGTAAGAGAGATTTCTCCTGTCATAGCTAGATCTTGTCTACATGGCTTATCAAGACCTAGAGACAATAATGCTGTAACTATGGTAACACCAGCACTTGGTCCATCTTTTGGTGTGGCTCCCTAGGAGAGAAAAATAACTTGTATAAATGTGATGTGTTATTTATTCAAAATATATGTCTTTTTTGTGAATTTACATATTTCTATTACAGCTTTCACAAAACACAAAAATATTTCAAGGAATTGTCAAATACAATGTAACCATAGATCTATTTCTTGTAAAGTGAAACTTTTCTTTATTCCATGAACAATGAATTTTGACTCTTTTTCTTTCTTTTTTTTTACAAAACCTTGAGAGCAGAAAATTTATACCTAAAGCAATAGATGTTAACTATCAAGATCATTGCAATAATCATATATAAGTCTGCTACTCCTACACTAAGCACTGAAGAATAATAGGGACATTTAGTAAGATGGTTAAATCCTTCCCGCAATGCGAGTGGATTTAAGACATTAAAACAAAACAATCATAAAAGAGGTAAATACTTGTTTAAACCCTCTTTGTGTTACCATTGACTGATGCAGAGACTACATTTATATTGCAAAAGCCGAATTTATAACTAATTATCTTTATAATTTCATTGTCTATTGTATCAGGGGAGATAAATAAAATTTGACTGAGACTACAGAACATTATCAAAGAAATTTAACTAAAATTCTAAGACTAGGTAGCTTTCATTTTATTTCATGCAAATGTCAAAAGGTTGGTGTAATACAACTTGATAATTGAACAGAATTAATTGTTTTAATGCCTTTGAATGATTGCAGCTAGAAATACACAAGTATAGCCAGGTAAGTCTGTATATCTCTGCACACAGATTCTATTCTAATAGATTTATCATTTTGATACTGAAATCTCTTAAAATATCAAGCAACAAGGTAAGAATTAATTTTCTGTTCAATTCATCTTGTTCAATTAATTAAAAGTAAATCTTAACATATGTATTAGCCTTATGGTTAACATAAAATTATCAAACTAGAAATGTGCCCCCACGCTCCACTGTTTTGTCAGTCTACAGACAAACAGACGGAGAGAAGAACGGACAAGGGCAAACCTTTATGCATCCCTTCCAAAAGCAATAGGGGGATAAAAAGGCCCAACAAAGCAAAACTGTTAGGGTCAAATATGACTATGCCAGTGTTGCCGACATGTTAAACCAACTAAAATTACCAATTTTTTTAACATTTTATTTCTTTTTCTTGTTTTTTCTTTCTTTTTCATAAAAGATTGAAATTTTGAGGTTAATATGAATGGATTACCTCTGGTATATGAAGATGTAATTCGCCCTTTTCGAGTTGTTTGTTTCCTGGATCTAGTTTATCAAGTAACAACTTAGCCTGGGTGTATGCTATATGTACACTCTCTTCCATCACTTTACTAATGTTACCTGTAATCTCTAGAGAACCTTTCTTTTCCGGGTCATTGTCAACTGCTTTCTTAATGATTGTCTCTATATATAATGATGCTCCACCTAGCACAATAAATCCAGAGGAATGTGTTTTTATTGTTGTTTTTTACTGCACTACATTACGAAAACAGTATTGTCTGTCATAAAGACCACACAGAAAACTTGACCTACAGCATTTTATCAACCCATTTAAATAATTTAAATTTACAAATTACCTCTTTAAGAAAACTGCTTTAAAAAACCAACTGTAGACTAACATTTGTCAACATAAACAACTTTCCAGATCATTATTAGACGGTGCTGGCTGATCTTGGTCTGCTCTATATAGTACAGGTATTTTATGATGCCTCTAACAGTAAAGAACTGTCTAAATGAAATATGAAAAGTTGGCATTTATGAACATTCACTCAAAAGAAATGAACTATCTAATACAGTGATATTTTAAAACTATATACCCATGGACGTCCATGCCAGGCCTGTAACAACACCAGCAGGAGTTGACTGGTACATCCTATCCTTTGTAAACAGGGGCTTGCCAACAAAATCTTGTAGTTCATTTAAACCAACTATAACATTCGTGGCATCTCCAGATACTATTTTAAATGCAGCTTTCCTGTAAATCTGAAAGGAATATAAAGGAAAATTAAATTTTATTTTATTGCCATATTATAGGAAAGGCCAGTTATAGATTACTTGTGTCTGTTTTTTTAAAATTCAACATAAAAATGAAATGGTTGCAAAAATGATCTGATGTTAATGAGAACCCTGGTTCATCATTTTGATGAGTTTTTCTTGTGGTAAGTTTTGCAGTCTAAACCTCTACACAGACCCAACACACTGACCTTGCAATTATCATTGGACTAATGCTACATTTAGTAGCCTCGGGCACTTATTTTCTAGAATATATACTTGCACTTAAAAGTCTTTGCTAGTTCTATTTTGCTTTGTAAATCTTGGGGCTGTTGTTTAATCCTTGTTACTTTGTTATTGTTCTATTGATTCTTTACAAATATGAATAAATTCATACATTGTTTCAGTAACTCAAACAGAAATATTTCATAATCATTTCATAAAGCATAGCATATACATTCTGAAGCTAGAAGTTTCCATTTATTATCACATACCTTTTCTACATGTTTCTGTAGATTTCTCACACCACTCTCTCTACAATAATGGTGTATTAATTCCTGGAGGGCATTCTGGGATAGCGTCACCTGATCTGCCTTGATTCCCGAGTGTTCCTGAGCTTGAGGCACCAAATGTTTCTATCAAACAAAATTAAAGAAATATCTAGTAACATAAAAATAAAGCAAGGGAATTTTTTTCCAAGGCAAAAATACTGACCAAGAAAAAGCTTGACAAAATCACTTAGTTTTCAATTAAAGTATAGCACATTTTCTTACTCTCATAAAAGACTGTAACACAGAGGGAAAACTTATGTGTCAAATATCCTGCACAAATTTCAGATTGTGACAAAAGGAGTAGATAGCTGATTAAGTGTGTTTACAAAGATTACATATAAAATTACCGAGCGAACGCCAGTAAGTATATAAAATTACCATACATATATAATATTACCTCAGCTATAGCTAACTTCTCCTCAGCAACATAACCAGATAAATCTATAAGCTCCATCCTGTCTAACAATGGTCCGGGAATTCTCTCACGATTATTGGCAGTACAGATAAATAATACCTACAATATATTACAATTTATTTTCATATATCATTATAACAACACCTACAAACTATAAGCTAAGTTTTTCATAATTTCCAATCTTTCTCAGTATGTCTTCTGTTGTGTATATGTCAAAATTTCAGTCAACTTTGATGAACAAAACATAGGGAATTCAAAGTCATGGAACAGAAGCCTCAACCTTCAAGACCAGGAAAATCTATACTTACAGCTATTTTTGATTAAATACAGACAAAAAATTGTCCCCTTAAAGTGTTTTATCAGTTTCTCTTTATAACAAAATTTCCTGTACTAACCTAAGGTGTTCTAAGAAATTCTGTATCATCTCTAAATTTTGGAAGAAAAACAAGATATCATCAAGTTTTAATTTATCGTCATAATATAAATCAACAACTAACAAAGTGATAATTACTTTAGATAGATCAACATTGACATCAAGATAATGATCTAAGAAGTTGGCATTTTGTTCTGGATCTAATACTTCTAACAATGCTGATGTAGGGTCTCCTATATGTCCTCTGAAAATCTTATCAACCTAAAAAGTAACACAAAAACTATAATGACCATCTTCCTATGAAATAAACAAGAATCTGTGTTTGATTTGATAAACTCACTGTTGTCAATAATTTAACTTTAGAGAGTGAAGTAGCTAATTTGTATGTGTCTTCTCACCTGAGCATGTTTTACTCTATCCTTCAGTTTCTTTTCCATCTTAGCCTTTTCATCTTTATTATTTCTCTCAAAAGCCTTTAGCTATTAAACTCAGTAAGTAAATGCCTTCATTAATTGTTAACACTTTTTTAAATGATAAGAAAGAACAATTTGTTACTAAGAGATGCAAGCAAATTATCGCAGGTCATGAAGAAAACCAATCATGTGTAGAAATCTGTAATTGGCACCCTTGACCTTGACCAACTGACCCCTACCTCTATCAAAAGGAATAATATCATGCACGTTATTTTCCTACCAAATATGAAATAAATTTGTCAATAAATAAAGGCTGTATGGGCAAGTGTAAATAATCTATTTTTAGCACTGGTGACCTTGACCCAACTGACCCCTAACTCCATCCAAAGGAAGAATATCATGCAACTTATTTTCCTACCAAATATGAAATAAATCTGTCAATATATAAAGGCTGTATGGGCAAAAGTGTAAAAATCTATTTTTAGCACTGTTGACCTTGACCCAACTGACCCCTAACTCCATCCAAAGGAAGAATACCATGTAAGTTATCTTCCTACCAATTATAATACAAATCTGTCAATAAATAAAGGCTGTATGAGCAAAAGTGTAAAAATCTTTTTTAAGCACTGGTGACCTTGACCCAACTGACCCCTACCTCCATCCAAATGAGAATACCTCAATTTTATGTTCCTACAAAATATACAAGACATCTGTCGATAGAATAAGGTTAATACACCTGTAAAAGTGTAAAAAGTCTATTTTTGACATTGGTGACCTTGACCCAAATGACCCCTTACTAAAGGAAAAGGAAGAGGACCTCCCTTGGTATAACTATTATAAACATGAAAGACATTAACTTAAAAATAAAGGCTGTATGAGCAGAAATGTTTAAATTTATTTTTTTACACAAGTGACCTTGACCTTGACCTAGAGACGCCTAACCCCACAAAAAATTAGAGGACTGTTAAAGGTATCAACTTACCAAATATGAAAGATTTCATTTAATAAATTAAGTAATTAGGTGAAATTTTTTTTATAAATCCAACTTGGCGGAATAGGTTAACCATACAAGGCCCTATTTTCAAAGTGATAAAAGGGAAATTACTGGGGAAATGGATGGCACTTTTATATAACTTGGCAATATCATGTACATTGTATTGATAAGTAAGTGTGGAAATTATTAAGCCATTTCCAACTTGCCGGTTTAGGTTAACCAGATGAAATGTGCTTCTCAAGCAGACACTTGCCTACCTTCTTCATATAAGAAATTGCCCATTTTTTGTAATGAAATTTACTGGTGAAAAAATTCTTGTATTCATACATTATCACTGTTTCTTACATTTTTAATGGTTGTTGAATTGCAGTGTGCCACACAAGACAGGTACAAAAGTTACAAGAGCACCGCTTGGCGGAGCATTATATGCCCGAAAGTGTTGTTTGTTTTTTTTAGTAAGGATGAAGCATTTGTAAGACATGGCAATTAGCTGTTAATCCTATAAAATTTTACAGCTGTAGGTTGATTAATACTTAAGTTATTAATAATGACCTTGACCTTTGACCTTGTGACCCCAAAATCAATATGGGTCTTGTACCTTATATGGACAATCATCCTAAGAAGTTTGAATATTGTGGGCCAATTGGAACTTCAATTATGCTCTAGAAACTGTTTTCAGTAATAAAGTAAAAGTGACTTTGACCTTTGACCTAGTGACCCCAAAATCAATAGGGGTCTTCTACCCAATATGGACAATCATCCTATGAAGTTTGAATATAGTGGGCCAAATGGAACTTAATTTATGCTCCGGAAACTGTTAAAGGTAATTGTGACCTTGACCTTTGACCTAGTGACCCCAAAATCAAAAGGGATCTTTTGCCCAATATGGACAATCATCCTATGAAGTTTGAATATTGTAGGCCAAATGGAACTTAAGTTATGCTCCGGAAACTATTTTCAGTTTTAAGGATATAGTGACCTTGACCCTTGACCTTTTGACCCCAAAATAAATAGGGGTCTTCTACCCAATATGGACAATCATCCTATGAAGTTTGAACATTGTGGGCCAAATGGAACTTAAGTTATGCTCCGGAAACTGTTTTCAGTATCAAGGTAATAGTGACCTTGACCTTTGACCTTGTGACCCCAACATCAAAAGGGGTCTTCTACCCAATATGGACAATCATCCTATGAAGTTTGAACATTGTGGGTCAAATGGAACTTAGGTTATGCTCCGGAAACTGTTTTCAGTTTCAAGGTAATAGTGACCTTGACCTTTGACCTTTTGACCCCAAAATCAATAGGGATCTTTTGCCCAATATGGACAATCACCCTATGAAGTTTGAACATTGTGGGTCAAATGGAACTTAAGTTATGCTACGGAAACTGTTTTCAGTTTTAAGGTAATAGTGACCTTGACCTTTGACCTTTTGACCCCAAAATCAATAGGGGTCTTCTACCCAATATGGACAATCATCCTGTGAAATTTGAACATTGTGGGCCAATTGGAACTTAAGTTATGCTCCGGAAACTGTTTTCAGTTTTAAGGTAATAGTGACCTTGACCTTTGACCTTGTGACCCCAAAATCAATAGGGGTCTTCTACCTAATTTGGACAATCATCCTATGAAGTTTGAACATTGTGGGTCGAATGGAACTTAAGTTATGCTCCGGAAACTGTTTTCAGGTAATAGTGACCTTGACCTTTGACCTTTTGACTCCAAAATCAATAGGGGTCTTCTACCCAATATGGACAATCATCCTATGAAGTTTAAACGTTGTGGGCCAAATGAAACTTAAGTTATGCTCCGGAAACCAAATTGCTATTGGACAGAACTGTTTTCAGTTTTAGGGTAATAGTGACCTTGACTTTTGACCTTTTAACCCCAAAATCAATAGGGGTCTTCCACCTAATATGGACAATCATCCTATGAAGTTTGAACGTTGTGGGTCAAATGGAACTTAAGTTATGCTCCGGAAACTGTTTTTTCAGTTTCAAGGTAATAGTGACCTTGACCTTTGACCTTGTGACCCCAAAATCAATAGGGGTGGGTCTTCTACCCAATATGGACAATCATCCTATGAAGTTTGAACATTGTGGGTCGAATGGAACTGAAGTTATGCTCCGGAAACTGTTTTCAGTTTTAAGGTAATAGTGACCTTGACCTTTGACCTTTTGACCCCAAAATCAATAGGGGTCTTCTACCCAATATGGACAATCATCCTATTAAGTTTGAACATTGTGGGCCAATTGGAACTTAAGTTATGCTCCGGAAACTGTTTTCAGTATCAAGGTAATAGTGACCTTGACCTTTAACCTTGTGTCCCCAAAATCAATAGGGGTCTTCTACCTAAAATGGACAATCATCCTATGAAGTTTGAACATTGTGGGTCGAATGGAACTTAAGTTATGCTCCGGAAACTGTTTTCAGTTTTAAGGTAATAGTGACCTTGACCTTTGACCTTTTGACCCCAAAATCAATAGGGGTCTTCAACCCAATATGGACAATCATCCTATGAAGTTTAAACATTGTGGGCCAAATGAAACTTAAGTTATGCTCCGGAAACCAAATTGCTATTGGGCAGAACTGTTTTCAGTTTTAGGGTAATAGTGACCTTGACCTTTGACCTTTTGACCCCATAATCAATAGGGGTCTTCCACCTAATATGGACAATCATCCTATGAAGTTTGAACATTGTGGGCCAAATGGAACTAAAGTTATGCTCCGGAAACCAAATTGCTAACGGACGGAACTGTTTTCAGTTTTAGGGTAATAGTGACCTTGACCTTTGACCCCAAAATCAATAGGGGTCTTCTACCCAATATGGACAATCAGCCTATGAAGTTTGAACATTGTGGGCCAAATGGAACTTAAGTTATGCTCCGGAAACCAAATTGCTAACGGACGGACGTTCTAACAGGAGAGTAATAATGTGGCTACTCTATTGTTCTCTCTTTTGTTCTTTTTAGCCACGCAAAAGAAAATAGCCACATAAAAGCATTACGGGATGAATGACATCAAAGAGAAAGAACAGTTACCTATTGTCCCTCTAGCCACATAATTACTGTCCTGTGAGTGCTGACAGACAGACAGACGGACGCCAGGGTGTATAACATAATATGCCCTTTCGGGCATATAAAATAAAAGCAAAAATAAAATTATGATCACCTCATCTATTAGAACTAACGGATTCTCAGTCTGTGTTGCCTTCAAACACTGGATTAATTTTCCTGGCATGGAGCCAACATATGTACGACGATGACCTTTGATTTCTGCTACATCATAAATTCCTTCCCTCAACTATTTCTTGTTCATACTTTGTTTAATTGAAGAGAACACGTGTTCCTTAGTATGTTTTCTTCATGAAATAAAGTGTTTATTATTAGTAGTATTATTAGGATGCGTGGCAATTTTTGCTCACCAGTAAAATCGACCTATTGATTAATATAGAAGTTGAAAGGAAATGACAAAAGCCAACAAAAGTTTTGAAAATCTTTATGTCCCTTCTATTTAACAGTGGATATTCAACATTACATATCTATAACACATTTCGACCTATAACAACACAATCACAGTATATAACTGTATCACAATAACGGTATATTTGTAGCACATGTCTAAAACTTGGTCCCATAGCCTAGCTACAGATCTGTGCTACTATAATTCTGATTCTGATAGTAAAAATATGCATCCACAAGGATCGTAAAAAAGAGCTGTCGGTAGGACAGCACGCTCGACTATTCTAAGTGCTTGATAGTATAAGAGCCTTGATAATGTTAAAATTTTTAAGTTCACAAAAGGGCTAATTCATTTTTATAAATTCATGTTATAGGCCTTAGAGAGAGTCTAATTATACAGTATTGGCTTGACTTTTCGGAAGGTAATGTCACAAGGGTGTTTTATTGAGTATAATAATACTAATTACCTATGAATACATAAATTTGACAGAAAAGGTACAAAGGCTTGTTATTAAGATGTTTTATCAAGTAAATCACTGCTTTATTATTATGAATGCATAAAATTGTCCAAAAAAGGCACAAACCCTTCAGTAGTTATTGAGATAACAGCTTATAAGCAAAACTTTACGATGAATTTCTAGGTTGAAAAAGGGGAGAAAAATCAGCCTTAATGCAAGATAGAATTATGGATCTTTGTCAGTGACCTACAATTATGACCCTAAATGCATATGTGAACTTTTAAATAAATATCTTTAATAGTTATTGAGATATGTAAAAACATTAACCAAGAGACTAAGTAGAAAAGGGGATATGAATCAGCCTTAATGCAAGATAGAGTTATGGAACTTGGTCAGTGACATACAATTATAACCCTCCAATTATGACCCTAAATGCATGTGTAAAGTTTCAAGTAAATATCTTTGAAGACCTTTAACCTTTAACCAAAATTTCTAAGTTTCAAAGGGGCAAATAATTCTGCAAATATTGCAGGCAGAGTTATGCAATTTCGCAAACTGATGTACATTGTTACTATAAAATAGCATTTTAAATTTCAATTGAATATCTCAAGCAATAATTGAGATATTTGACTTTACAAAAAACTTTAACCAAAATTTCTAAGTTAAAAAGGGGCATAATTCTGTCAATATTGTAGGCAGAGTTATCCAACTTTTCAATCTGATGTACCTTGTTACTATAAATAAGTATTGTAAGTTTCAATTGAATATCTCAAGTAATAATTGAGATATTTGACTTTACAAAAAACTTTAACCAACGCAGACGCCGACGCGGACGCGGACGCCGGGGCGACTACAATAGCTCTCATATTCTTCGAATAGTCGAGCTAAAAATGAAAACTATTTCAAAATTTCATTAGATATGTAAATCGCTATAGTTGAATAAATCCGCACATGAATAAATTCAACAAATTTGAGCAGATCCATCACTTATATCAATATATCTTGACCTTTACTGATCCAAGATCAATACATTTTAGGTAAAATACTAATGATTTTTGTTCAGAAACAAACTAGGCACCACCCTCTTCCCCCAACCCCTTTGTATAATCTATTCTGGTAATAACCCCCCCCCACACCTTAATTTGTATAATCTATATTGGCAATACCATGTTCCTAACTGTATCTTTAACTGTATTTTCAAACTATGGCACTTAAACATAGCCTTGTACTAAACATACATATTTCTCCATTTTGCGGTTTTGAATCTTGAAATATAGCTGTCATTATGTGACAATTATCAAACTATTTGTGTGTATTCTGTATGAGTATTAACTTGCCTTTATTCGTATTCGTATGTCAAGTCTTCTATTTTTAGCAAACCAAATCAATGACGGAAGAATTACATGTGTTATACTATCAAGATTCAAACTGTGATTGTAACACATACTGTACCAAGCCTTATATTTATTTTAAACTCATGAACATGAGCACATAAAGACTTAATGCCCTTCCTACAGTGCTCACAAAATAGACCCAACTTGTCACTACCATTCTCTTGTTAAACTCACATACTCTCGTCATCTCAGATCTCAACTAAAGGCATGACCCTTAAACATTACACTTAAAATCCAAGTTGGATTTCCCACACTTTACATTACACAAACAGTTTCATATATGTCTTTTTCATCTTTCGTTGCCACTAGCAAATATCAACTTGGTGGTATGAGGTCAGGGAATGCAATTCTAAAAACATCAGTGTAATTGTCTGCAAAATAAAATTCTAAGTCCTTTGTGATACAGTCAGGTAGGTCGGCAAAGTCTTTACGGTTTTCTTCTGGCAGAATGACACATTTCATACCTGCTCTCCTTGCCTGCAACAATAAAATACAACTTTAATATAACTCTATATATACTACCCTTGTCTATATAAATCTGGAAAAAAACGTGATCACTCAGACGCAATGTAAACAAAAAATGTTATATGAAAATTGCAGACCTAGTGTCTACAATTAAAGCTATGCTCCAGTTTCAAGTTGCACTGACACTGATACGATATGTTCATGTGACTTTGCAAAGTTCCAACAGAAGATATATACCTCAAATTTTGCTTCAAGCATTACTTAGACAAGGAAAGGCACAAGAGTAGTAAAATAAGAATTACAGGTACATTATTTCTTACATACATTATCTAGTTGATAACAATCTGATTCAACACTCATTTTATGAATCAGTCAACACTTCCTCATAAATGCTCATGGTTTCTTAACTAAGCCTTGTGGTTATAAAAGTTTTTCATGAGCTCTGCCTCTAACCCCCAGGATTTTCATTGGTCAGGGTACATTCTGTGCTTGTTTGTAACAATTCAAATACCTGAGATCTGAGTTTGAGCTTAGAAAAAATCTGTATAACCTTGTGCCCTGTACTTAACTGTTTATAGCTTGGACCCTGTACTTAACTGTTTATAGATTGTGCCCTGTACTTAACTGTTTATAACTTGGACCCTGCAATTAACTGTTTATAACTTGGACCCTGTACTTAACTTTTATAACTTGGACCCTGTACTTAACTTTTTATAACTTGGACCCTGTACTTAACTCTTTATAACTTAGACCCTGTACTTAACTTTTTATAACTTGGACCCTGTACTTAACTTTTTATAACTTGGACCCTGTACTTAACTCTTTATAACTTGGACCCTGTACTTAACTCTTTATAACTTGGACCCTGTACTTAACTGTTTTTGCCTGAATAGATGCCAACTTCTTTGAAACGGGGGATCAAGAACAAATCGTTCTGTGTCGTCGCCAAAGTTAAGTTTAAGCTTTACATATCAAACAACATTATGTTTGGCCATTAACCTTCTGAATTTCTTGATCAACTTACCAAATATGGGTGTATCAAGATAAAAATTTGAAGTTAGTCAACAGTATAGAGCAGCAGAATAAAAGTAAGGTATAACAATGCAATCACTAAGGCCATATAAAACTTACTGCTAGAACTTTTTCTTTCACTCCACCTATAGCTAGAACTTTGCCTGTAAGAGAGATTTCTCCTGTCATAGCTAGATCTTGTCTACATGGCTTATCCAGACCTAGAGACAATAATGCTGTAACTATGGTAACACCAGCACTTGGTCCATCTTTTGGTGTGGCTCCCTAGGAGAAAAGTAACATGTATAAATGTGATGTGATTCAAAATATATGTCTTTTTGTGAATTTACAAATTTTTATTACAGCTTTCACAAAACACAAAAATATTTCAAGGAATTGTCAACTACAATGTAACCATAGATCTATTTCTTGTAAAAAGAAACTTTTCTTTATTCCATGAACAATGAATTTTGACTCTTTTTCTTTCTTTTTTTTTACAAAACCTTGAGAGCAGAAAATTTATACCTAAAGCACTAGATGTTAACTATCAAGATCATTGCAATAATCATATATAAGTCTGCTACTCCTACACTAAGCACTGAAGAATAATAGGGACATTTAGTAAGATGGTTAAATCCTTCCCGCAATGCGAGTGGATTTAAGACATTAAAACAATACAATCATAAAAGAGGTAAATACTTGTTTAAACCCTCTTTGTGTTACCATTGACTGATGCAGAGACTACATTTATATTGCAAAAGCCAAATTTATAACTAATTATCTTTATAATTTCATTGTCTATTGTATCAGGGGAGATAAATAAAATTTGACTGAGACTACAGAACATTATCAAAGAAATTTAACTAAAATTCTAGGACTAGGTAGCTTTCATTTTATTTCATGCAAATGTCAAAAGGTTGGTGTAATACAACTTGATAATTGAACAGAATTAATTGTTTTAATGCCTTTGAATGATTGCAGCTAGAAAAACACAAGTATAGCCAGGTAAGTGTGTATATCTCTGCACACAGATTCTATGCTAATAGATTTATCATTTTGATACTGAAATCTCTTAAAATATCAAGCAACAAGGTAAGAATTAATTTTCTATTCAATTCATCTTGTTTAATTAATTAAAGGTAAATCTTAACATATGTATTAAGTTTAACATAAAATAAAATAATCAAACTAGAAATGTGCCCCCAAGCTCCACTGTTTTGTCAGTCTACAGACAAACAGACGGAGAGAAGAACGGACAAGGGCAAACCTTTATGCATCCCTTCCCAAAGCAATAGGGGGATAAAAAGGCCCAACAAAGCAAAACTGTTAGGTTCAAATATGACTATGCCAGTGTTGCCGACATGTTAAACCAACTAAAATTACCAAGTTTTTTAACATTTTTATTTCTTTTTCTTGTTTTTTCTTTCTTTTTCATAAAAGATTGAAATTTTGAGGTTATGAATGGATTACCTCTGGTATATGAAGATGTAATTCGCCCTTTTCGAGTTGTTTGTTTCCTGGCTCTAGTTTATCAAGTAACAACTTAGCCTGGGTGTATGCTATATGTACACTCTCTTCCATCACTTTACTAATGTTACCAGTAATCTCTAGAGAACCTTTCTTCTCCGGGTCATTGTCAACTGCTTTCTTAATGATTGTCTCTATATATAATGATGCTCCACCTAGCACAATAAATCCAGAGGAATGTGTTTTTATTGTTGTTTTTTTACTGCACTACATTACGAAAACAGTATTGTCTGTCATAAAGACCACACAGAAAACTTGACCAACAGCATTTTATCAACCCATTTAAATAATTTAAATTTACAAATTACCTCTTTAAGAAAACTGCTTTAAAAAACCAACTGTAGACTAACATTTGTCAACATAAACAACTTTCCAGATCATTATTAGACGGTGCAGATGTGCTGGCTGATCTTGGTCTGCACTATATAGTACAGGTATTTTATGATGCCTCTAACAGTAAAGAACTGTCTATATGAAATATGAAAACTTGGCACTTGTGAACATTCACTCAAAAGAAAAGAACTATCTTAATACAGTGATATTTTAAAACTAAATACCCATGGACGTCCATGCCAGGCCTGTAACAACACCAGCAGGAGTTGACTGGTACATCCTATCCTTTGTAAACAGGGGCTTGCCAACAAAATCTTGTAGTTCATTTAAACCAACTATAACATTCGTGGCATCTCCAGATACTATTTTAAATGCAGCTTTCCTGTAAATCTGAAAGGAATATAAAGGAAAATTAAATTTTATTTTATTGCCATATTATAGGAAAGGCCAGTTATAGATTACTTGTGTCTGTTTTTTTAAAATTCAACATAAAAATGAAAATGGTTGCAAAAATGATCTGATGTTAATGAGAACCCTGGTTCATCATTTTGATGAGTTTTTTCTTGTGGTAAGTTTTTGCAGTCTAAACCTCTACACAGACCCAACACACTGACCTTGCAATTATCATTGGACTAATGCTACATTTAGTAGCCTCGGGCACTTATTTTCTAGAATATATACTTGCACTTAAAAGTCTTTGCTAGTTCTATTTTGCTTTGTAAATCTTGGGGCTGTTGTTTAATCCTTGTTACTTTGTTATTGTTCTATTGATTCTTTACAAATATGAATAAATTCATACATTGTTTCAGTAACTCAAACAGAAATATTTCATAATCATTTCATAAAGCATAGCATATACATTCTGAAGCTAGAAGTTTCCATTTATTATCACATACCTTTTCTACATGTTTCTGTAGATTTCTCACACCACTCTCTCTACAATAATGGTGTATTAATTCTTGGAGGGCATTCTGGGATAGCGTCACCTGATCTGCCTTGATTCCCGAGTGTTCCTGAGCTTGAGGCACCAAATGTTTCTATCAAACAAAATTAAAGAAATATCTAGTAACATAAAAATAAAGCAAGGGAATTTTTTTTCCAAGGCAAAAATACTGACCAAGAAAAAGCTTGACAAAAATCACTTAGTTTTCAATTAAAGTATAGCACATTTTCTTACTCTCATAAAAGACTGTAACACAGAGGGAAAACTTATGTGTCAAATATCCTGCACAAATTTCAGATTGTGACAAAAGGAGTAGATAGCTGATTAAGTGTGTTTACAAAAGATTACATATAAAATTACCGAGCGAACGCCAGTAAGTATATAAAATTACCATACATATATAATATTACCTCAGCTATAGCTAACTTCTCCTCAGCAACATAACCAGATAAATCTATAAGCTCCATCCTGTCTAACAATGGTCCGGGAATTCTCTCAAGATTATTGGCAGTACAGATAAATAATACCTACAATATATTACAATTTATTTTCATATATCATTATAACAACACCTACAAACTATAAGCTAAGTTTTTCATAATTTCCAATCTTTCTCAGTATGTCTTCTGTTGTGTATATGTCAAAATTTCAGTCAACTTTGATGAACAAAACATAGGAATTCAAAGTCATGGAACAGAAGCCTCAACCTTCAAGACCAGGAAAATCTATACTTACAGCTATTTTTGATTAAATACAGACAAAAAATTGTCCCCTTAAAGTGTTTTATATCAGTTTCTCTTATAACAAAATTTCCTGTACTAACCTAAGGTGTTCTAAGAAATTCTGTATCATCTCTAAATTTTGGAAGAAAAACAAGATATCATCAAGTTTTAATTTATCGTCATAATATAAATCAACAACTAACAAAGTGATAATTACTTTAGATAGATCAACATTGACATCAAGATAATGATCTAAGAAGTTGGCATTTTGTTCTGGATCTAATACTTCTAACAATGCTGATGTAGGGTCTCCTATATGTCCTCTGAAAATCTTATCAACCTAAAAAAGTAACACAAATTATAATGACATCTTCCTATGAAATAAACAAGAATCTGTGTTTGATTTGATAAACTCACTGTTGTCAATAATTTAACTTTAGAGAGTGAAGTAGCTAATTTGTATGTGTCTTCTCACCTGAGCATGTTTTACTCTATCCTTCAGTTTCTTTTTCCATCTTAGCCTTTTCATCTTTATTATTTCTCTCAAAAGCCTTAAGCTATTAAACTCGTAAGTAAATGCCTTCATTAATTGTTAACACTTTTTTAAATGATAAGAAAGAACAATTTGTTACTAAGAGATGCAAGCAAATTATCGCAGTTCATGAAGAAAACCAAATCATGTGTAGAAATCTGTAATTGGCACCCTTGACCTTGACCAACTGACCCCTACCTCTATCAAAAGGAATAATATCATGCACGTTATTTTCCTACCAAATATGAAATAAATTTGTCAATAAATAAAGGCTGTATGGGCAAGTGTAAATAATCTATTTTTAGCACTGGTGACCTTGACCCAACTGACCCCTAACTCCATCCAAAGGAAGAATATCATGCAACTTATTTTCCTACCAAATATGAAATAAATCTGTCAATATATAAAGGCTGTATGGGCAAAAGTGTAAAAAATCTATTTTTAGCACTGTTGACCTTGACCCAACTGACCCCTAACTCCATCCAAAGGAAGAATACCATGTAAGTTATCTTCCTACCAATTATAATACAAATCTGTCAATAAATAAAGGCTGTATGAGCAAAAGTGTAAAAATCTTTTTTAAGCACTGGTGACCTTGACCCAACTGACCCTACCTCCATCCAAATGAGAATACCTCAATTTTATATTCCTACAAAATATACAAGACATCTGTCGATAGAATAAGTTAATACACCTGTAAAAGTGTAAAAAGTCTATTTTTGACATTGGTGACCTTGACCCAAATGACCCCTTACTAAAGGAAAAGGAAGAGGACCTCCCTTGGTATAACTATTATAAACATGAAAGACATTAACTTAAAAATAAAGGCTGTATGAGCAGAAATGTTTAGATTTATTTTTTTACACAAGTGACCTTGACCTTGACCTAGAGACGCCTAACCCCACAAAAAATTAGAGGACTGTTAAAGGTATCAACTACCAAATATGAAAGATTTCATTTAATAAATTAAGTAATTAGGTGAAATTTTTTTTATAAATCCAACTTGGCGGAATAGGTTAACCATACAAGGCCCTATTTTCAAAGTGATAAAAGGGAAATTACTGGGGAAATGGATGGCACATTTATATAACTTGGCAATATCATGTACATTGTATTGATAAGTAAGTGTGGAAATTATTAAGCCATTTCCAACTTGCCGGTTTAGGTTAACCAGATGAAATGTGCTTCTCAAGCAGACACCTTGCCTACCTTCTTCATATAAGAAATTGCCCATTTTTTGTAATGAAATTTACTGGTGAAAAAATTCTTGTATTCATACATTATCACTGTTTCTTACATTTTTAATGGTTGTTGAATTGCAGTGTGCCACACAAGACAGGTACAAAAGTTACAAGAGCACCGCTTGGCGGAGCATTATATGCCCGAAAGTGTTGTTGTTTTTTTTTTAGTAAGGATGAAGCATTTGTAAGACATGGGAATTAGCTGTTCATCCTATAAAATTTTACAGCTGTAGGTTGATTAATACTTAAATTATTAATAATGACCTTGACCTTTGACCTTGTGACCCCAAAATCAATAGGGGTCTTCTACCTTATATGGACAATCATCCTAAGAAGTTTAAATATAGTGGGCCAATTGGAACTTTAATTATGCTCTAGAAACTGTTTTCAGTAATAAAGTAAAAGTGACTTTGACCTAGTGACCCCAAAATCAATAGGGGTCTTCTACCCAATATGGACAATCATCCTATGAAGTTTGAATATAGTGGGCCAAATGGAACTTAATTTATGCTCCGGAAACTGTTTTTGGTTTTAAGGTAATTGTGACCTTGACCTTTGTCCTAGTGACCCCAAAATCAATAGGGATCTTTTGCCCAATATGGACAATCATCCTATGAAGTTTGAATATTGTAGGCCAAATGGAACTTAAGTTATGCTCCGGAAACTATTTTCAGTTTTAAGGATATAGTGACCTTGACCCTTGACCTTTTGACCCCAAAATCAATAGGGGTCTTCTACCTAATATGGACAATCATCCTATGAAGTTTGAACATTGTGGGCCAAATGGAACTTAAGTTATGCTCCGGAAACTGTTTTCAGTATCAAGGTAATAGTGACCTTGACCTTTGACCTTGTGACCCCAACATCAATAGGGGTCTTCTACCCAATATGGACAATCATCCTATGAAGTTTGAACATTGTGGGTCAAATGGAACTTAAGTAATGCTCCGGAAACTGTTTTCAGTTTCAAGGTAATAGTGACCTTGACCTTTGACCTTGTGACCCCAAAATCAATATGGGTTTTCTACCAAATATGGACAATCACCCTAGGAAGATTGAACGTTGTGGGTCAAATGGAACTTAAGTTATGCTACGGAAACTGTTTTCAGTTTTAAGGTAATAGTGACCTTGACCTTTTGACCCCAAAATCAATAGGGGTCTTCTACCTAATATGGACAATCATCCTTTGAAGTTTGAACATTGTGGGTCGAATGGAACTTAAGTTATGCTCCGGAAACTGTTTTCAGTTTTAAGGTTATAGTGACCTTGACCTTTGACCTTTTGACCCCAAAATCAATAGGGGTCTTCTACCCAATATGGACAATCACCCTCTGAAGTTTGAACATTGTGGGTCAAATGGAACTTAAGTTATGCTACGGAAACTGTTTTCAGTTTTAAGGTAATAGTGACCTTGACCTTTGACCTTTTGACCCCAAAATCAATAGGGGTCTTCTACCCAATATGGACAATCATCCTGTGAAATTTGAACATTGTGGGCCAATTGGAACTTAAGTTATGCTCTGGAAACTGTTTTCAGTTTTAAGGTAATAGTGACCTTGACCTTTGACCTTGTGACCCCAAAATCAATAGGGGTCTTCTACCTAATTTGGACAATCATCCTATGAAGTTTGAACATTGTGGGTCGAATGGAACTTAAGTTATGCTCCGGAAACTGTTTTCAGGTAATAGTGACCTTGACCTTTGACCTTTTGACCCCAAAATCAATAGGGGTCTTCTACCCAATATGGACAATCATCCTATGAAGTTTAAACATTGTGGGCCAAATGAAACTTAAGTTATGCTCCAGAAACCAAATTGCTATTGGACAGAACTGTTTTCAGTTTTAGGGTAATAGTGACCTTGACCTTTGACCTTTTGACCCCAAAATCAATAGGGGTCTTCCACCCAATATGGACAATAATCCTATGAAGTTTGAACATTGTGGGTCAAATGGAACTAAAGTTATGCTCCGGAAACCAAATTGCTAACGGACGGAACTGTTTTCAGTTTTAGGGTAATAGTGACCTTGACCTTTGACCCCAAAATCAATAGGGGTCTTCTACCCAATATGGACAATCAGCCTATGAAGTTTGAACATTGTGGGCCAAATGGAACTTAAGTTATGCTCCGGAAACCAAATTGCTAACGGACGGACGGACGTTCTAACAGGAGAGTAATAATGTGGCTACTCTATTGTTCTCTCTTTTGTTCTTTTTAGCCACGCAAAAGAAAATAGCCACATAAAAGCATTACGGGATGAATGACATCAAAGAGAAAGAACAGTTACCTATTGTCCCTCTAGCCACATAATTACTGTCCTGTGAGTGTGGACAGACAGACAGACGGACGCCAGGGGGTATAACATAATATGCCCTTTCGGGCATATAAAATAAAAGCAAAAATAAAATTATGATCACCTCATCTATTAGAACTAACGGATTCTCAGTCTGTGTTGCCTTCAAACACTGGATTAATTTTCCTGGCATGGAGCCAACATATGTACGACGATGACCTTTGATTTCTGCTACATCATAAATTCCACCTACACTAAATCTGTAATACTGATGAAGTAGCTCTCATTAGGACATTTGCACAAATTTTGCTAAAAATATTTTACCATTAAACATAAAATTTAAATAAAATGAATTTTTCTTGAACAATTTTAAAAATGTACGCCTTCTGCGTAACATGTTTGTTTGGGTTTTATGTTACACCAACACAGTATAGGTCTTTTTGTGACGTTCCAGCTTTACTGGAGGAGGAAGACCTCCGGTGCGCTTCTGTGCAATATTTCAGGCACGAACAGGCACCTGAGTAGAACCACCAACATTTCTTAAGCTAGATGGATAGCTATTTCACATGAAAGAATCCAAAGTCTCTGTCGGGATTCGAACCCACAGCGGTGAGGGGCAAGTGGTTTGAAGTCAAGGACCTTAACCACTTGGCCACAGACGCCCCTCTGCGTAATATAGATGTTCTTTTAAACAAAGAGTTACAAAGTAATACACAATCTAAAATGAATTATTCTTTTAAACTTTACAAATTTCGAAACAAAATTGAAAATGTATAGAATTTTTCAGTAGGAAATGAATAAATTAATCACTCAGAACATACCTTTCTATTTAATGCCCTGGCTATAGATTTTGCTATACTAGTTTTACCTACACCTGGGGGACCATGGAAACATAGAATCTTGCCTTGTTTACTACCTTTAAGTTGACTCACAGCTATAAATTCCTACACAATACAGAAATATATTTTAAAAACATTTCTGCAATCACCAAACAATTTTCAGTATCAAAGCAATATACATGTTAAATTCAATTCCTTTTACAGCTGGTCTATTTGTATCATTTTAACTAAAATTCAGTTTTTTTTTTTTAATTTTTTAAACAAACTGTTTGCAAAGCAATGTATCTCAGATTAATACCTCATACCTATTTCCAGAATATACTGTAGTGCATATTGATGCTTTCTAATATAACTTCAAGACTGGTTCAAAATACATGTATATTTTGTATTTTAAAAGCTATCCTTTTCATATAACAAGTAAACTAAAACCTTGATAATATATTTTACTAGACTTTTTATATTTTCTTTTTAGATTTGAAACGGTCCAATCTGGCAGGCAGCTGGCTCTTAATAACAACCCTGTAGAACAAGTTAAATAAACCCTATCAATATATTTTTTTAAACAATCAAAACAAAATTTCATCACCACATTTTACTTCCAGATCAAATAAAATCTCACCAATATTCTCTTTTTAACATCTTCCATACCATAGTGGTCTTCTTCTAATATTTCCTCAGCTAGTTTTATATCTATATTTTCCTCACTGTATTTTCCCCATGGTAGGTTGGTCAACCAGTCTAGGTAATTCTTGGTTACACTATAATATATTTCAGATATAACATTTCAAATCCCTATTGTCAAGTATAACTTGTATTGTATAGCGAATGAACTCCACATTTTTTATCATAACTTATATACGAGATAAATCCCTATTTTCTACAAAAATGTGTATTCTAGAATATTGTATAGGAATAAAATCCCAATTTTCTGAAATAACTTATATAATACAGTGAAAGTTGAGAAAAATCCATGGCTTTCAGACCGAGGGTTTTGTCTGGTTTTCTCAATGTCCCTTTTAGGATCCTATGTACTGAGCATTGACTTACAATGGATGTTGTATATTTGCATTTTCATGATCATATGTACTTATATTGCTAAATAAAGAAATGATGAATTAACAAGTAACACGTTTTATTTATTTTTGTCACATTATTGCATCTAAATACAACAAGAATTTGTAACAGAGTAACCAACGTCCCCCGCCTCAGGGAATTTTTATACAAAGCATAAAATTGTGCTATTTCAAAAGATTGAGGTATGGATCTCAGGACTTTCAGTCCAAAATTATGATCAATGCTAGATCTGCAAATGCAACAATAAATTTATTAAAGAAATAAAATGAAACACAGTATCTAAAAATTTATCATGTAAAGCTTTGACCTCTAAGTGTGACCTTGACCTTGGAGGTAGTGTTGCAGGTGTTATGCATGACATATCGTCTTATTATTGTAACTATTTGTGCCAAGTATTTTCAAAATCCCTTGAACTATAAAGAAGTTATAGATCGGACACAAAATATACCCTATAACCGACTATGTAAATCTTTGACCTCTAAGTGTGACCTTGACCTTGGAGGTAGGGACACAGGTGTTACACATGACATATCATCTTATCATTGTGACTATTTGTGCCAAGTATTGTCAAAATCCCTTAATCTATGAAGAAGTTATGGACAGGACACAAAATATACCATATAACAGACAGTTAACCTTTGACCTCTAAGTGTGACCTTGAACTTGGAGGTAGGGGTGCAGGTGTTGTACTTGACATATCGTCTTCTTATTATGACTATTTGTGCCTAATTATTTTTAAATCCTGAAAAAGTTTTTGATCGGACACAAAATATACCCTAAAACAGACTATGTTAATTTTTTACCTCTAACTGTGACCTTGAAGTTGGAGGTAGAGATGCAGGTGTTCTGCATGACACATTGTCTTATTATAGTGACTATTTGTGGCAAGTATTTACAAAGTCTTTCGATCTATGAAAAAGTTATGGACCGGACACAAAAAATACCCTATAACAGACTTTGTTAATCTTTGACCTCCAAGTGTGACCTTGACCTTGGAGGTAGGTGACCAGTTGTTTTGCATGACACATCCTCTCATTATTGTGAACAAATGTGGCAAGTATTTACAAAATCCCTTCAAAGATAATAAAGTTATGGACGGGACACAACATATACCCTCAAATAGACAATGTTGACCTTGAATGAGCAAGTGCGACCTTGACCTTGGAGGTAGAGGTCTGGTTGTTGCGCATGACACATCGTCTTATTATAACAAACATTTGTGCCAAGTTATTTCAGATTCCTTTGATAAATGACAAAGTTATGGACCGGACACGAAAGTGTGACGGACGGACAGACGGGACAGACGGACAGACAGACGGACGGACCGACAGACAGACAGACAGATGGACGGAGCCTATTTCTATATCCCTTTTTTTTTCTTCGAAAAGGCGGGGGACAATAAAATTTTGATTTAAAATGAACACCAGTTACCTCATAACGATAAGTCCTATTATATCCGCACATGTTTACATTTGGGTACTTGATAATGATTTAACGATCATAGTTTACTTTGTTTTATTTTTAATAATGCCCCTCACTGTAAATTTTTTTGATGTCATATTTGCCAGATAAAGATTCTGAAGTTCTTGGCAAAGTTTCACTGTCTTTAATTCATTCAACTTGGTCACTTATAGATAGCTCTCGTTGAATTCTTTTTGACGATAGAATATAACTTGGGCCGATAACTGTCTTTTCCATTGCGTTGATGTTTTGGGAAATGAATATACTGTAAAATCATTATTATTCGTGGGGCACGAATTTTCGTGGTTTTCGTGGGTAGGTCAATCCACGAATTTAAGGTCCCACGAACTTTTATCCCAACAAATACTTCTTCCCCAGTCTTTGTTTTATGTATAACAAACAAGCGTCGGCTCTGTTCCGGCCGATATTTCGTGAAATGGATGTATATACAGACAGATAATCAGGTTAGTGACATATTAAATCCGTTTACAATATTTAAGACACTTGAAAGAAAACTCGATTATATGTCCTCAATTTACTGTCACAAATGTCGCATATAGTACTTGATCGTTGTAGTCTACTAGGACTTGATTGTGTCAACAAGAATACTTGACATAATCGAGTAAATATGGGAACCCAGGCAGTCTTTGATATTAATGTCGTTAGTACACAAAACTATAAAAAAAATGCGATCGCTAAAACAGACTTATTGTACATTCTTTTGTCGTTTTAAATGATCAAGTTTATATGAATTTTAATCTGTATTTGTGCGAATGCTATTCCGTCAACATCAAAGACACCACCGATTTTTACAAGATATAAAAAAAAATACAAGATCCACACATACTCGTCTTATTTACCGAGATAAATTTTTATGCATGTAAATTTACACAGTCGCTGTGACGTTGCGTGTAGTTAAGTACTGTCAAATATGTTAAGACCAATTAAGGGTGTAAACTTAACCTGTCAGGTGTCGTATAAATCATGCGATGTTTACACCGGCGAATTACAGGGGCAGTGTGTATATCATGTCACATAAATGTGTTAATTGCAGTCAATTATCGGCAATAACTGTGCTATATAAGTTATGCCAAGAGGCAAGGATTAAATTTATTGACAAGCGCTGTGTGACAAGTAAAGATATGTACATGTTGTAAGTAAAAATGTTTGGCGATTAAGTTTAAGATTATTTTGCTAGGTAACTGAATTTTTTTTAACAAGAAAACGAAAATCCACGAATTTAAGAACCAACGAAAATGCCCTTTTTGATTAAACCACGAAATTTCATGCCCATGAATTTAAGTGAATTCGCAGTACAAAAGCAACGCAGTATAAAAATACTCTATTTTTTATTCATACTGATTTTAACTTACCAATTCCTCGTGCATTTTAGCATTGATATAAAACTGTAATATCTATGTTTTACTTCATTATAAATCAAAGAGTGAAAAGAGACATAATAAACAAATCAGACAATCAGTGTTCCATAACCGCTCAGTTAGCGTATTAGACACAACCAATTGACAAGTACACAAGGTTATTCACCCAGTATTGTCAGGGTAATTATCTCTAAAATAGCCTTCATAGTCCCCTATCAGCCATCCGATATTCGGTTTTTACAGATTCCGGTACTGTCAATGTTTAATGCAATAGTTTAACGGACTGAATTAATCGTCCGGTATTTAGAGAGTTCAGATTTTCTCAGAGTCCGTTTTTTCCACTTTCACTGTATACATTATGAAAACTTTTTTAAAAACTTGTTATATACTCAATTATACTTTTTTCTAGATTAATTTGGTATTTTGTACTCTATAAAATCCCTATTTTCTAGAATAACTTATAATATATACTAGGGATGGCAACGAATACCAAAATCAATACTCGAGTACTCGGTCATTTTTCCGATCGAGTACTCGGCTTCTCGGATGATTGCCAGTGATCTTCAAAGTTTATCACACAATATCAACACCGTCCGCATGCTACTTTCGTTTTCTATTTAAATTCATAGAATTCTGTAGATAGTAAATAGGACTGCACGGGAGACAAATTAATTATAATTAAATCAACAACATAATATTTTACAACGTTTTAATTAATGCAATATCAAGTTTTAAACATGTATAACAGTTCATATATCTTTTTTCTTCTTGAAATAATATAGACTGATCGGCGGCAACAAAAGTTTAACCTGGTCTAAATACTAGTTACCTTTATTCTTACATTCATGATAGCAATCGGCCCTTTGTTGTTTTCAAAACAGTTACTTTGGCTACACAATTAAAGGTAATTAAATATCATAAAAGGCTGGATGACATAAGCGACACAGGTGCGCGTGTCAAACTGTTGATCGCCTTGTTAAATTTATGATATCATTTTTGCACCTCTGCAAGGATGTTTTGATTGCATTTAACGTGTATTTATGAAGATACATGCTAATCTCCGAATTTCTGAACTAATTGGATATACCAATCTTTCTAAATCGCAAAAAAATAGAAAATATATATTTTTCCGAGTAATCGAATATCAATTTTGTTAACCGATATTCGGACGTTTGATCGAGTACTCGGTTAACCGGTAACTTGTTGCCATCCCTAATATATACCAAATATAATTGCTATTTTCTAGAATAACTTGTATTTTATATGTTATAAAATCCCAATTTTGTAAAATAACTTATTTTGTTTATGTAATAAAAGTGCCAATTTTCTGGATTAACATGTACTTACTTGTACTCTGAGGAATGGCTATCAAGGCTACACAACTTTTTAAACTCTTCATCTATCACTTTCTGTACATGGTCTGGAATAATTAGATCCTGAAATAAAACAAGACAGGCCAGTCCTGTTAAAACTCTAGCTCCATTTTAAGACCTGCATAAACATATACATTTGCAAGTTAATCCATTTTATCATACACTCTACAAACAAGGCAGCCAACAGCATACCAGACGGTCACACAGCAAGGATTTGATGGCAAGCCTGACTCTACGCTTGCTGGTAAATGTCATTTATTATTATCACTAACACTTAAAGGGTTTAAGGTCCCAGGCCATATGATACAATTCTGGTAATATCATGAAAAAGAGATAACTGCCATTATATCAATTCAAACTATTTCATCGAATTTTACTGGTTTACTGCTGGAGGAAGACATCAGGTGCCACTCCCTTTGTGCATTATTTCAAGCACAAACAGGCTTTTAAGCAGAAAGACCAACTTTCCGTAAGCTAGCTAGATAGCTTTCTCACATGAAACAATACCAAGATGCTGGTGCAGCTTGAACCTACAACGTTGAAAGGAAAGGGTTTGAAGTCAATGACCTTAACCACTCAACCACAGAGGCCCAGATGAGAGCTTGACTTTAATATTTGCTTGATTACTTGAGATGTGGTTAACAAGCAATAGTATTGTCAATGAACTGAGAAAAGGATTTGGTGGTTTTCTGTAGTAAATGCTCGAACATGTATTGAATTCTAAAAACAAATATCTATACATAAATTTTTTGTTCACTCTACAATAGCTTTAATAATCTATGAAAAGAAATCAAAATAATGTACAAACCTTAGTCCTCTTTTTCATTTTTTCCTCAAAACCCTCAGCATCATCTTTCTCGATACCCAGTTCTTTCCTCACTGTTTTCATTTGTTCACGTAACATATATTCTCTATGTTGTTTCTTCACCTTCTCTTCCACCTAAATATTAACAACAAGATACGCAAGATTAACTCTTTATCAACTTGAAAGAGCAGATAAATTTAACCTATTCTGATAGGGCTTTGTAATGCCAACCTAGTAATATGGCGATACATTTTACGATACAGACATTGGTTTTAAAAAGGGTTTGCACATTCTGATAAAATGAAACAGGAATATGTTGTCATCAGCCTCACAATTAAACATATCACATAATGCAAAATTGTAAATATGCAGGTTATCATTAGGCAATTCTTCATAATTTTGCAACGACCTACCTAGGACAGTTTTTTAAAAAGAAAAGCTTACTTCTTTCCCAATTTTTAATTGTAATTTACTAACAGCCAGTTCCTTTTTCACCAAGTCTAATGTCAGAGATAATCTTTTAGGAATCTAGAAAAGTAAACATGGCTTCAATTAGTCAGTAAGTACATGATAAAACAAATTATAAGAAGCAAACTCAACATAAGAAAATTTACAAGAACAGAAGAAAAAAACCTCAAAATAATAAGAAAAAAATCTTAGTTTTCTGAAGTACATAAATCAAGAGATAAGAATAAATTGTAGGAAAACTCGAAAAAAAAACAACCTTTTTAGGATTCAACATGTTGGATCATATAAACCATGAGAAAATTTTATTAAAAAAAACCCAAAAACTTACCAACTTTTATCAAAATTTGCAGTCAACATTATATTTACATTGTATGCAGCAGAATAATCAATTCTATTTAATGAACAATATCTTTCAGTAAAAAAAGATTTTATCAGGAGTTTTCAGCAATGATGTAAATGTCGAAAATGTATAAACAAGGCATCTTACATTTGTTTCTTCCATGACTTTCTGTATTTCTTCAGAATCAGCTGTTGACAATGCAGCTCCTAAAACAACATTCACAATCTGTATTACAATAATAGTGATCCTGTAAAAAGTTACCAGTATATTTTTAGTTACTTTGCTTTTATCTTTTTACTTTGTCAAACAAGTAGGGTGGAGAAAAATTTCAAACACCCATTTCTGCTTTAGTACACTTTTAATAAGCTAGATTATAGCCTTATCACATAGCAGAATTATCAGAATTTGAACACATCATTCTGAAGCAAAGTATTCAAAGTCAGTAACCTGAATCAGTTTCATATACAGTGCACTCTGGATACGAGATCATCGGGACTTCACATAATTCCTCGTTATAACCGGGTCTCATTATAACTGGGACATAACAAATTGTAGAATCCGAAACCGTCAAGCATCATTAAAGAGTACATAATGGGAGGTAACTCTTTGCACTCAGAAGCATTTGTTTTATTTAAATAAACATGTATATAAATATATCTAGCTATCATAGAATTTAAACAAAACATATAAAAACACATAATACTACGTTCAACCACATGGGTTTTTATTAATATGTACATTTTAAAGTTCGTTTTCAAAAGTCATGCAGTATATTTCTCATGAACATCAAATAACACTGAAAGAAATTAATCGCTTCCTTTGTGCTAATCACTCAATAAAATTGTTTTGTTAAGACATTTCATCGCTAAAAGGACAATTTAGCCCGGAGCGCTGACAAAACACAAGGCGCTAATTACTCAAAAATTTCAATTTCTTCCTTAATTGTCCTTTGTTTTTGGTCACCATTGCTTTTCTCAAGGTGTCAAACTGATGCAGACATGACCTCGCTAAAATTCTGAAAAATATGCATGGGACGTCGAATATAAATATACGTTGTAACCGGTATCTTGCTAAAACCGATTTCGTTATAAACGATATAAAATGAAAGGAAAATAGAAGGAAAAAGGCAGGGACACAGTAGAATGTACGTTATAAGCAGTATCTCATTAAAACCAATCTCGTTGTAAGTGGATTAGACTGTATTATAGTCACTGTAGTGTATAACAGTATTTGATTATTCTAAAATGATACTATTATCATAAAAATATACATACCATATAGAAAAGTTGAACAACAAAAATTCATTGATAAATACTTAGACATTGTGAGTAAGGCTTTATTAATGACATGTATATACTATAAATGAATGAAAATTGTCAAAAATAGTACAAGTATCATATGTCTATAAAAGAGTACAAATTTAATACTATAATACCAGTTGTTTAGAGTTAGAATATAATTTTGACTAAAGACAAACTTGCAATTATGGAATGATAGAAGCTTACAGCATAACTTCAGAATGATCGTAAGCCGAAAACTTTAAGATACATAAATGCTGATAATTATAACAATTATAAAATCAAAGTTTATTTGGATTGGGCAACCATATTAGATAATACAGCAAACAAGTTCGAAGGTAATACACAAACAATAAGTTATGGATACCATTCAGATAACACAGAACAAGTTTAAGTCAAACAAAGGAGCACTAATTATTTGCAAAAGAGCAATATATGGGACTTGCTGCCAATCATGTGTTAGATAATCAAAGAGAACAAGTGTGTGAAGTTTCAATCCATTCCCTTCAGTAGTTATCGAGATACCAGCTTACATGCAAAAACTTAAAAAAGAATTTATAAGCCGAAAAAGGGGCATAATTATGCAAAAGGCAATCAGAGTTATGGGACTTGTGCCAATCATGTTAGACAATCTTAGAGAACAAGTGTGTGAAGTTTCAATCCATTCCCTTCAGTGGTTATAGAGATACCAGCTTACACGCAAAAACTTAAAAAAGAATTTCTAGGTCGAAAAATGGGCATAATTAAGCAAAAAAGCAAATCAATCAGAGTTATGGGACTTGTGCCAATAATGTTAGATAATCACAGAGAACAAATGTGTCAAGTTTCAATCCATTCCCTTCAGTAGTTATGGAGATACCAGCTTACACGCAAAAACTTAACCACAGGGACGCCAACGCTGACGCCAACAAATTGATGACTGCATTAGCTCGATTATTCTGCAAATAGTCGAGCTAAAAACAAATGCTTATTCAAACGAAAAACTACTAAGCACCATAATGATCCATTTTTTGCCCAAGGTCTGTTATGGATACAAGGAATAGCAAGGGGTGTTGATGTTCTTACCTAAATCACTTAAATATGATGGATTCTCATACATCTTTGAGCCGACTTCTAACTGTATATGTGCTCTAAAATAGTCAAACAATTTCGTGAATCTTACCATGGTTCAGTTTTATCAGTGAAGTTAACTAAAATGCCTTCGCCAAATTTTATTGAAAACAGTAAATAAATAAGCAACATGATAGCAAGTGAAAATAACTTTCAATTTGTATTTGAAAAAGCACTAGTCAATAATTCTCAAATGAACAGAAAAGTTAGAGCACTAACAATGAAAGGAGATGTTTACCTGAAGTAGGGGTTGAGAACAATAATCTCTTTGATTGTCTTTAAGATCTCACCAACTAATGACTGCAACATAAATATTTAATGGTTAGGTAACATTGTAACAAAAATTTTATGAAAATTTCTAGAATGTTTCTTGCAAATTTATTTGGGAATTAAGTAATGCCAGCAAAAAAAGAAAATTTCAATGTCATGTACAAATATCATGAGTTTCCATATTGACTAACACTTGTTCTAAGATTAAAAATATTTACACTTATACATTTGGAATTGCAGTACTCGGTAGCACATTTTTTCATGAGACATAATCAGTAACTGTATAGTACAAGCTTAAAATCTACCATTTTTACACCTTAAATGTAAAATTTTCAAAACTATTTGTTTATGTAAAGAATGCAACTCCTCATAATATACTGCTTACCTTCATTTCCTCATCTTTAATGAAATGTTCATCTTTCAAGTTTTCAGTTTCCACCATGATCACTCCATGCTGTACAGCCCTAAGCATCTCACCTCTGTGTGAGAATACATCTTAAAAAATAACAAAATTTATACCAGATTAAATCAAGGCATGTCAGCAAACTATTAAACATTTCTTTTAACATTTCAACCTATACTGCCAGTGATTTTTGTAATACTGAACATAACCAATTATATGGCTTGACAATTAACCAAATATCTTACTGGCATTATAGGCTTGATAATTAATCTTACTGCACTATGTGTCTATAACTTTGCTGTCAGTAACAGATTTTACCCTTGCAATTGAATAAATCTGTGTCATCTGATCATTTCTCAAATTTTAAAATCTTTCCATTTCTCTTCAAAATGAACTTGCATGAATGACATTTGAAATATAGTCTTTAAAAGACAAGACTGGACCAAAATCCTGTTAAACTTACATGTCATTTTTCTATAAAAAGAAGATCCAACAAGAATTCAAATCCTGTTTACTTAACACTGTCTCACTTGTTACAAGATATATTATATCTACCTCTAACACCACTAAGACATTTCGGTGTGTCATCCTTCTTTAAACGACCTAATCTTCTCTGTCTCCTGGTAATTCTCGCAGGTTGTTGTTTATCTAATCGTTGAACTGGTAAATAGAATAAAAAACACTGTAAAAATATCAACAATTATAATTCTAAATGAATGCAAAGTTAGCGGACTTGTAAGATTGTTTTCAATCAATCCTTCAAGGACTGTCTTCCAACATGACTGGTATATCATGTTACAAGTATGAAGTATGACCTTGCAAATTTACTTACTTTTATTATATTGATAAAAAACTCTCTTGCAATTATAATTATGCAGACAATTTTAGTTTCAAAGCATAACTTGTTGCTTGGAAATAAATATTACACAGTAAGAGTTAACTAAACATATGATAAATAATTTCGAGTAACAGTTAGATCTACAATAGTTTGGTACTTTGTGTGGTCAAAATACTGCTCTGTTTTCATGTTGTTACTTTTATAAAAAATAATTTTATATTAAGCACCACTTTCTTCAGGTTCAAAAATCTTACATGCTCTAAAACTATTATTTAAACACTGTTAAACTAATGTTTGCCCTTTCTAAAGAAGTAAACATTTATTCCTTTCTGTGCCTTTCATGACAAATACATTGGTCATCCAAGTATTTTTAGGCAATCATTCAAAAATTAAACTTTGGAAATAATGGTAAAACATCATACCTAAATGTTTAGCAACTGCTTCTAAATCATCACCAATATCTGGCTCATGGAGTTCTTGTATCAAAGATATCCTGCAAATAATTCATAATAGTGCACACTGAATCCTTAGCATTCATATTTTTCATGATATATTTTTAACAACTTATTTCTTTCAGTCTAATCAGTATTGTAAAGATCAAGAATATTGAGTTTCCACTTAAATGAAGCTATTACATGTCCATAGCACATATCTATTTCAAGACATATGCATGCTCTACATTGAATAACTGGCCATTCATACAACAGCTTGTATAGAGAATTTCATGTCCAGCCCCAAGTCAGATTAAAATCCAAACAACTAATAAAATGATAAGAACCAAAACCTTGAAACCTCTGTTTCTTGTCCGCAGAAGCATCTCTTGTCTGTGAGTATGACAAGTTTCAGACTGACGTTTTTATCACCATTATAATATGAAACTTTCTGATTGAAAATTTCGAAATAAAAAGACAGAAATTTTCTGTGTTTTTTTACTAAAGATACAGACATGGGTGAAAAAATAAAATTAGGAATTACTTACCTTCTAATACTCTTTACAGTCATTCTTAGCTTATTTTCAAATGTTTGCATTCCAGTGATCTCGACAAAACTTCCAACACTGTAAATATCTGACAGCTTTTCTACAACATCGTTCTCATTACTGCAATTCAAAAAAAAAACTGTTAGTTTTCACTACATTTAATACATTAATTTTTGATGAATTTTTGCAGTTTGCAAAGTGTTTGATATTTTCCTACGGTTTGTAAATCAAGTAACAGTATATCAACAAGAGCCATGTCAACATGGCCATCCCCCGCCGAATGTGTTTGCTCATTTGAAGAATGTATATGTAGTAGAACAGAAAAATTCTATTTTAAGAGGTCTTTTGGTAATGAAAACTGATGGCTATAGTGATTACAGATTTGAAACCTATGTGAATACTGATGAATGAAAATAACAAAGGGCAATAACTGAAAAATAATGCAGGGTAGGTTATCATTCTTGTGTGCTGCATCCCTCCTCAGTAAAATCTATCCACCTATGAAGTTTCAAGTTGATACCTCAAATACTTTTTGAGAAAAAAATTGAATTGAAAAATTAAGTATGAAAAAAACAAAACAAAGGGCAATAACTCAAAAATTATAAAAGGTAGAGTTATCATTCTTGTGCAGTGCACACCTCCTGAGTTAGATCTATGCACCTATGAAGTTTCATTTTGATATCTCAAAGGCTTTTTGAGTTATGCTCTGGACAAAAATTAATTTTGAAAAATAACAAAGGGCAATAACTCAAAAATAATGCAGGGTAGAGTTATCATTCTTAAGCACTGCACTCCTCCTCAATGAGATCCATCCACCTTTGAAGTTTCAAGTTGATACCTCAAATACTTTTTGAGATAAGCTCTGGACAAAATAGCATAAAAAAACAAAGGGCAATAACTCAAAAAATGTAAAGGGAAGAGTTATCATTCTTGCGCACAACATTCCTCCTCAATAAGATCTATCCACCTATGACATTTCATGTTGATATCTCAAACACTTTTTGAGTTATGCTCCACTCAGGTGAAAAATTAGGTATGAAAAATAACAAAGGGCAATAACTCAAAAATTATGAAAGGTAGAGTTATCATTCTTGTGCACTGCACACCTCCTGAGTGAGATCTATGCACCTATGAAGTTTCATGTTAATATCTCATAGGATTTTGGAGTTATGCTCTGGACAAAAATCAATTTTGAAAAATAACAAAGGGCAATAACTCAAAAATCATGCAAGGTAGAGTTATCATTCTTGTGCACTGCACTCCTCCTCAATGAGGTCTATCCACATAAAACATTCCTCCTCAATAAGATCTATCCACCTATGACATTTCATGTTGATATCTCAAACACTTTTTGAGTTATGATCCACTCAGGTGAAAAATTAGGTATGAAAAATAACAAAGGGCAATAACTCAAAAATTATGAAAGGTAGAGTTATCATTCATGTGCACTGCACACCTCCTGAGTGAGATCTATGCACCTATGAAGTTTCATGTTAATATCTCATAGGCTTTTGGAGTTATGCTCTGGACAAAAATCAATTTTGAAAAATAACAAAGGGCAATAACTCAAAAATCATGCAAGGTAGAGTTATCATTCTTGTGCACTGCACTCCTCCTCAATGAGGTCTATCCACCTATGAAGTTTCAAGTTGATAACTCAAATACTTTTAGAGATATGCTCCGGACAAAAATGTCGGACGGAAGGACGGACGGACGGAAGGACGGACGGTCGGACGGACGGAGACTATTTCTATATCCTCCGCCGAAAATTTTCGGCGGGGGATAAAAACAACAAGAATTTGTAACAGAGTTACCAACATCCCCGTCTCGGGGAAGTTTTATATGAAGCATAAAATTGTGTTATTTCAAAAGATTGAGGTATGGATCTCAGGACTTTCTGCTAGATCTGCAAATGTAACAATAAATTTATTAAAGAAATCAAATGAAACACAAAAATTAAAAATCTATCATGTTAAGCTTTGACCTCTAAGTGTCACTTTGACCTTGGAGGGTAGGGGTGCAGGTGTGCTTGACATATTGTCTTATTATTGTAATTTTTTGTGCCAAGTATTTTCAAAATCCCTCTAATTATGAAGAAGTTATAGATGGGACACAAAATATACCCTATAACAAACTTATGTTAATCTTTGAGTTTCTACGTGTGACCTTAGAGGTAAGGACCAATGTTTTGAGCCTGACATATCGTCTTATTATATTGATAATTTGTGCAAAGTATTTTTAATATCCCTTGATCAAGTTATGGACTGGACACAAAATATACCCTATAACAGACTATGTAAATCTTTGACCTCTATGTATGACCTTAACCTTGGAGGTAGGGACACAGGTGTTATGCATGACATATCATCTTATCATTGTGACTATTAGTGCCAAGTTTTTTCAAAATCACTTGATCTATGAAGAAGTTATGGACAGGACACAAAATATACCATATAACAGACTGTTAACCTTTGACCTCTAAGTGTGACCTTGGCCTTGGAGGTAGGGGTGCAGGTGTTGTATTTGACATATTGTCTTATTATTGTGACTATTTGTGCAAAGTTATTTCAAAATCCCTTGAATTATGAAGAAGTTCTAGATCGAACACAAAATATACACTATAACAGACTATGTAAATTTTTTCCCTCTAAGTGTGACCTTGACCTTGGAGGAAGGGATGCAGGTGTTGTGCATGACACATTGTCTTATTATAGTGACTATTTGTGCCAAATATTTTCAAAATCCTTTCATCTATGAAAAAGTTATGGACTGGACACAAAATATACCCTATAACTAGTGATGTTCCGATTGTCGCAAGTCGCCGATAATCAGTTATGTAAAGCGACAATAATCGATTCACAAAAATATTTTTTACGGATGTCGTCGAAAATGTTTCAAGTATCAAAGGGTATTAATTCTGACGGTAATTTCCTTTTAGTAACACCTTGCCGACTGCAAAAAAAAATCATCTCAGAGACAATTTGGAGTTGAACAGGATCTAAACGTGATGTAATAGTAATAAAATGTGATGTGAATGTTATTATTTCACATCCATTGAAAAATAAAATCTATTTCGTAAAATTATGACTATATAAGGTTAAAACTGTTTTGAAAAGTGGTAAATGAAGTTCATGTTACTGAATATAATCAAGTGCCTTGGGAAGAAATATACTTCCCTATTTCTTTTGAACGCGACTTTATTCGAAAAGTTATCCATTATGTCCCATCCGATTGAACCGATGATCGAATTGGACAAATTTCATCTGATTTTCATCACTACCTATAACAGACTATGTTAATCTTTGACCTCCATGTGTGACCTTCAAGGTAGGTGACCAGTTGTTGCACATGACACATCATCTCATTATTGTAAACAATTGTGGCAAGTATTTTAAAATCCCTTTATAGTTAAGAAAGTTATGGACTGGACACGCCAATGTTGACCTTGAAAGAGCAAATACGACCTTGACCTTGGAGGTAGGAGTCTGGTTGTTGCGCATGACATATCGTCTTATTATAACAAACATTTGTGCCAAGTTATTTCAAATTCCTTTGATAAATGACAAAGTTATGGACCGGACACGAAAGTGTGACAGACGGATGGACGGACGTACTCACAAAATGGTACTTATGTGACTTTTCCTTTGATCTTTTTGGCCATTTTTAGTCACACAAGGCTTAAAAAAAGACACACAAGTAAAAACGGAATGAATAGGATCAAAGAGAATTTACTGTTACCCATTGTTCTCCAAGTCACACAAGTACCTCTGGGTTCATACGGACAGACGGACGGAGCCTATTTCTATATCCCCCTTTTTTCTTCGAAAAGGTGGGGGACAAAAAAAACTGACAAAATATATTAACACATATGGTTGGAGAATGGTTACCTTTCATCTTTTTTTAAGAATACTCCTGCATATGGCAAGTTAAGCCGTGCTTTACGCTGGATTATATCAATTAATCTTTGATCATTAACCTGAAATATACAAGTTTTTTGTTGATATTAAAACAATTGGTTTCCTTCAATGCATGAAAACAAATATGTATTTAATATACAATATTAAATATATGCAATATACAATATATGTGACAATTCAAATGAGATTTCGGAGCAAGATTTATCCAAAATAATACATTAGTATCAGTAATATAATATCAAATTAGGCAAAGCCTACATGAACGGGGAAGTCTGCTAAAAAATAATTCATTTTTCCAATTTAAAGGTGCCATTCTGTATTTCATGCACCGCTTAACTTGACGATCATTATTAATCCGAAAAGTTGTGATTGTTTCGTTATAGGAATACCCTGCCAAGTATCATTGAGTTACACTGAAAATGATGGCGCCCAACTAAGTGTCAGTGACACTGAAAATTTCATTGATAGGTATAGAATTCTATATTTTCAGTAATTTTTCTTTATTTGGTTTCCTTTTAAATATAAACGTGTAGTCTATAGCCAGGCAAGCCAAAGCCCGGCCAGCTTCACAGTCCCGACATAATAATTGCATCAATTTAAATTGTTATACGGGGAAGTAAAAGTCCGGGCCCGCGAAGCGTGCCCGGGCTTTGGCTTGCCCGGCTATAGACTACACGTGTATATTTAAAAGAACATTCATATAAAAAACAATTAAAAAATATATAGAATTCTATACCTATCAATGAAATTTTCAGTGTCAGTTCTAGTTAGGCGCCGCCGTTTACAATGTAACTCAATGATAAAAGGCGGTGTATTCCGATAACGGAACAAATCTCAACTTTTCGGATTAATAATAAACGTCGAGTGTTCCGAGTGAAAACGGAAGTTGGTACATATAATACCGAATGACACCTTTAAAACGGAAAAATGAAAGGATTTTTTACCGACTTCCCCGTTCATAGGCTTTGCCTAATTTCATATTATTACAAGATAGTTTAATTGTTATCACAAGGATATATTCATAAATACTATTTTTATTTATACGCGTAAAGTTCGAGCGGTGCCGAAGGCCCCGCGAGGGCTGTAGCGCTCTAAGATAACATGTATGACGCATATCAATTCAAATGAAACCAAATTAAAAGTAAATGAAAATTTCAAAAAAATATATATCCTATACCTAATGAGCTGTGAAAAAATCCTTAGTTAACTGGGCGCCGCCATTTTGAAATCTTTTTTAGCTAAATATAGATATCACAGCGCTTTTGATGAGCATCTACATAATTCAGACTATTGCTAGCAGACGCATGCTAAATAACACTTCCGATGAAGAATGATGTACAAAATCAGAAAATAAACATTTATTTCATTCATAAGAACTATAGTAACGATGATAAATGTAAAAAGTTTCTTTTAAATCCTTTTTGATAAAATTAGCACATTAAAAATAACGTAAAAACAACATTATGTGATTAGAGATTAACAGAAAATGGCGGACGGGATTTTCCATGCACAGTGGTCCCTCTTCCGGTGATAGGTTGAACACCACCAATTTATTTGTTTCTGTTTACAGTACAAAATACCTGCATTTACTTTTTAACGAATTGCATGAAATATCTGGTTAACATGTTATGCTTAAATCATAAATCATAAGAGCTTTCCGTGCCATAGGTAGTACCTAATTTCATATTAATATCGTTTAAAGTCTCATTTATCAAAGTTCAAAATAGATTTGGGGATTCCAAGATATTGCTATTATACTCACAACAATTTGTTTCATAAATTTTGGGAATAGTGGAGTACGACTAATTGCAATCACTGGCACATTTGGGAATACATCTGGGGGTGACATGGTCGTGAGGGTATTCATCGGGTATTCAATCACTTGCCCATCATCATCACCATCATCGTTGTCATCATTAAAATCGTCTCCATTTACCCCTTCATTTCCATGTACTCCGCTGCTAAATTGAGCAAATTGACTGTAATTTGAAAACCCGCTTCCTCTCACATTTAAAACTGTATTAGGTATTTTAGAGTGTGAATCATTAAAACTATCAAAATTAGTAACGGAATAAACTTGATTGTGAACTGTGTCTTTGCACTTCTTAGTGTTAGACTTAGGTTTCAATGTCAAACTAGGTTTATGAGGTATTTTATAGCATTTTGACGTTTCAACGTCAAAGCAACAACTACAAGAAGAGAGAATCTTAACATAGTTAGCCTCTGTTAATGTTGCACTCAGATTACTTTTACGTAAAGAACTAGAAAAAGCACTTAATTTATACGGAGTTGGGAAACACGTTCGCATGGAGGCAGACATGTTGATCTGTGTGAGTAAACGCTTTTATCTCAAGGGAAAAGAGTCAACTCGGCCCTATACCAACTCGGCATGGGTCAACTCGGCACGGGTCAACTCGGCCCACTTTAAAAAAATATATTTAAAGTAGTAATATTAAAAAAAATATCAAACAAAAACATGTTTACTTAATAAATATATCATAATTAAGCTTCTAATTAATTGCAGGTGGTCAGTAATCAATTTTAAATGAATGCGTCACTCATAATTATCACCTAATTAATCGGTATCCTTACGAACACACTGATTGATAATAACAGCCTGTGACAATAAGAGTCCCTTTAATGTCTTTAACCAATTTCATTTAATTTGTTTGTAATTGTCAAAAGCTGAAAATTAAGTCCGTGTATTTTACATAATTACAAATATTACAAAAAATAGTGATTACACAAACCTAAATATAAATAATTGAAAAGTGGGCCGAGTTGACCCGTGCCGAGTTGGTATAGGGCCGAGCTGACTCAGGGGCCAAGTACGTTTTAGGGCCGAGCTGACCCGGAATCATCTCAAGTACCCAAAGGCTAAAAAAATAACAAGAAGGACGGAAAACTGACACAATGTCTTTCCTCTTAGTTTGAATTTACATAGACAGTATTAAATATTGATTTATGATTATTAAAACTATTTTTAAAGAATTTAAAAAAAACAACCATTTACTGTATAGAATAAACCGAATTTCAAAACTGGTCACAAAATTCCCTTGGTCCATTTAATTGGTAATTTTACTGAAGGGTGCTTTAAATAGTATAATTTTGCTGTTATTTCTTTTTCTTTCTTCACACCACACTGATAATGTTAATCTATAGCTTTCACATTGGCACAAGATGCCAAAGTTCCCCTTGCCTATTTGGAAAAAAATCACTTTTGTTTCGTAAACTTGCTGAAAAGTGTGTTCACATCTAATAATTCATCTTATCAAAAATTTTAAATCCATGCGATTTAAACAAACTAAAACTTACCATGACAAAAACAGCCAGAATAATATTCCAGATAAAAATTAATTATCATTTCATCAATATATTTCAAGAGTAATCTATAGCCATTTGCTCGATGAATAAAGATTTTGTTAGACAGTCAAACAAATTTAAAGAAATATATAGCTTGCAAGGAATTTGAATCATTTTATATATAATTTATATAGTCTTTGTATACCTAATGTATACATGTATACATAATGGATCAATTGTAAATCACAAAACAGGTTTTAAATTGCTGGAAAGATTCAGTCTTTGAAAAGTGAACTGGTCTATAATTAGTATTAAAAATAACATCAAAACATGGAAGAATTGTATTTGTCAAAAACTTGATAATATAGATCCTACATTGCATATATTTATGCAGCAGATATTATATTGTTCTGGAACAAAATACCATTATTCATCATTTTAATGTACATATTAAATCACTTAAAACTTTGTCATCCCCCCACTTTTATTCAAGCAATATTTTGTAACAATATCCAAATTGTACATTTTTATTTTATCAATATTTGAAAAACTTGCCCATTCTAGACCACTCCACATTAAAATGATCGCACAAACTCACCTGAAAACTCATGCACACATGGAGAAATGTAATTGTAATTTGTTATAATAAAATTAGGGATTTAAACATTTTGAATTTATGTATTTAATGTTTATAATTTCCATAGGGATTTAAACATTTTGAATTTCTGTATTTAATGTATATATTTTCCATAGGGATTTAAACATTTTGAATTTATGTATTTAATGTTTATAATTTCCTTAGGGATTTAAACATTTTGAATTTCTGTATTTAATGTTTATATTTTCCATAGGGATTTAAACATATTGAATTTCTGTATTTAATGTTTATATTTTCCATAGGGATTTAAACATTTTGAATTTTCGTATTTAATGTTTATATTTTCCATAGCGATTTAAACATATTGAATTTCTGTATTTAATGTTTATATTTTCCATAGGGATTTAAACATTTTGAATTTCTGTATAGTATGTGTCTATACATGCATGTCTCTCTCATTATCCAATATATAAAAGTAGCAAAGGTGGCCTTTGCTTATAGAATGGTTTCTTCAAAAAGTAATAATTGACATTAAAAAAAGAAATTATTGCATTTATTAAGTTTTATTTGTTTTAGTACATTTTCAATTAGTTAATTTTCCAGGGAAGTGTGGCAGAAATAAAATTATCAGTGTTAACTTACATCTGTTCCTGCACTGCAAGGTTTTGTTTTCGCATAAATATAGCAAAATTACGTCCAATTTGCAATACTTGGGCATTTGGTGTGGTTTTTAATCCAAACCGAGCAAAGTCTTTTCCAGGGTTCAATAGTACTGAAGTTCTTGGTATTAAGTTACTGCTGACTAGTGCTTTACCGTGACATGAATTTACTTCAGGTTTGATGTAAATATAACTTCTTAATCTGTCTAAAGAATGTGCATTAAGTGATACAAGCAGAATAAAAAGTAAAACAGCAATGATTTTAAACATTTTAATATGACAATGATATATGAATTAAACATAGATCTATCTATCCTCTCTCTTTGTAATCTTTAATACATATTGTAATATGATGATGAAAATTATAAGTGACCATTTGTTCAATTCACAAGATGACAGAAATTCTATCTTAACCTGCTAGATTCCTTAAATAGAATTGTCCATTTTTCAATTTTTGAAACTATCCATTATTAATTTTGGGTATATCTAGATGCCAATAGTATACAGCCTGGTCAGATTGCATTAATTGGCATGTGCCGCCAAAGCTGGCTTGATTCTATGTGACTACTGTAGACCAAAACATTTGAAAAACTGATTCCATATTTCATCTTTTTCATTAAATAGTTAAAAAGAAAAAGACAGAATGAGTATCCCAGTTATTTAAAGCATCTCATCATATATTAACATTATAAAACATTCCCTAACAAAATAAATATTCATAGCTCTGCTTAGCAATGATCATGCCCATGTACAGCCAGCTTTCATACACTCTTAATAGATCATACTACATGTAATAAAATGTGAACACTCCTTCGAAAGTCGAAATTTTTGATAAAATTCAACTTCTGACAGAAAATGTAGTGGGACTATCTCTATCGCTAGATATCTGTTTTTCAACATTTATTTTCTGAAATACTGCCAGTTCCTGTATATGATGCACTTAAATGTACATGTATATGGGACCAAAATAATTCAAAACTAAATGGTATTCAGTATTATTTTATTGAGGACACCTCAAGGTAGCCCCCTCCTAATCTCACAAATTCTCAACTTACCTTAGTTTACTCGAAAATGACTGTATCACGGGGATGGACAAATCTTACCTCCAAACGATGCTTAACATTCAAACAAACATTTATTGAAACATTTATTGAGATCGGTCTCAAAATAAAGGAATTGCTGGTCAAAATTTCATCCGAGCTCCATATGTGCTAAAGAGATCCATAGGTGATATAGGAACTACGGATCACTTTCATATAGTAATTGAATAGCAAATCTAAAGGACCAATTAAAGTTCCGTAGCTTTGGCTGTGAATCTCAAAATTGAGCATCGGTAAAAACTATATGTGAATTTCCGCTGCTCCAGATGTGCGCTTTAAATAACTCGATATGTGGAGGAGAAAATAGTTAAATCACAGAGTAAGTTTTCAATATTTTAAACATATAAAATTCAAAGCATTTTTAAGAAAATCGAAATGTGATTCTGAAAGCACATTAGGTCGTGTGTTTGGTAATTTAATATCACTACCTCAATAGGCTAACTATCTGGTGCTAGCAATATACATAAATGCTAAAATTCTAAAACAATACCGAGTATATAAAAAATTTGACACAGCGAATACTACTAGTATGATAAATAATTCACCATCGAGAAAACGTACATGTAACTTGGACAAGATTAAACAGCTGACAAATGAAATGGGCCATATCTCTGTAAAGCTATTGTTTCATATACTAGTAAACCTTTCCCTAAATTATTTAAATTCGTATAAATAAAACGTCACTTCAAGATTCCGCAAGTGTATTTAATAGATTTTCATTCACATGTACAAGTATTTTGTTATTGATTGCCATGCAGAGAATTGCAAGTAAACTTCTTCATAAAAACTGATAAATACTGTTTTGAATTAATAAAATTTTATTTCATCCAAAAATTATAGCGCCGATACAAGCGCTGGATACAAGCGAACCCTGATGAAAAATAACGAATAAAAAACAGCCACAAAATAATTAAATGTGAATTACGATGTAATAATATCTGCTATATGTCCCTGGGAGGCGAGAACCCAGTAAGTAACACAGCGTATGTTTTATACGTTTATGACTATTCATTGTACACTACTTGGTAGTACATAAGAGGCTGATACAGAGTGCCTATGTAACATGATACATATATCTACATCATCATAATTATATTATATGGATACTACATACGGTACGTTTCATTTGTAGTTTAATGAGATGATAACCAAGAAAACTATATGAACATGTACATCATTCTTTCTTTCGCCTTTTCGTTTTACTTTGCCTGACTTTTACATTAAAAGATTATTATGCGGAGATAAGATCGACAATGTTAATTAAAGCAATAAATTTATTTAAGAAAATAATGTGACAAACAAAGTTCTAATACAAATCTTATTGACGGTTTGTGTGTTGTAGAGCTGCTGTCATAAGAGGTGTCTCAAATATGGTGAAATAACAAACAGTTAACATGCTATCAAGAAAGGTAATTTATTTAGATTCATTTCAGACTTGTAATTGAGTTACTTCCCCTTAATTGTTATGTTAATTGTTGTGTTATACATGTAGCAGTTTCACCCGAGCTCTTAGTCTGGTCTTAACAACATGTGTTTAAGTATTCACAAATAAAATAAATGTAAAGGTTAGAATCTTGTTATCATCCATGCAACATAGCAAAGCCATTGCTTCTTATTGATATGTTATATCGGGGTATTAAACTTATTAAATACCACACATT